AGTCTGTCTTTGGCCTTCAATTTCAGGGCATACTCCGAAGCGTCCAAAGGATCACAAATTTGTGCAGGCCACCACGGATGGCTCTTAATCTTTCCCCACACAAAATCACCAACAAGAAACTCATGTCCCTCATCATCCATGTCCTCACTAATCTCATCAGTTTTCTCATCGGGGTCTTCTCCAGTCCCATCCAAACAGCTCCCATTCTCTTCAAACCCTCCGTTCACATCGGTCCCGGTCTCAGTAATCTCAGTCCCATCCGGGCCTTCTCCAATTCCATCCAAAGAACTCCCATCTTCTCCAACCCCTCCTCCGTTCTCACCATGATCAACCTCAGCACCGCCGCTCACCGCCTTCTTCTCGTTACTCGAAACAGACTCCAACTTCTCAACTCTCCCTTTCCCTCTCAGCTTCACCAAACCCTCCTCAGCATCCGAGACATCAACACTCAGGTTCCCAAAACTCCTTCCACCGCCAGAACCTCCCCGACCGGACCCTCCCGAGTCGGTCACAACTTCCCTGATCGTCTTCTCCTCCGGAACTTCATGCTTCTCCGGTTCAGGTGCAGAACCCAAACCCTCCTCCAGGGATGTAGTAGATCGCGTCCCTACCATCCCCATTTCCTGAAAAAAAATCAAGCTCAAGCTCAAACCTTGATTTCACAGCTGAATCCAATCACAAACAAAACCAAAACCCAAAAACAAAAACACAAAATTATGCAAAAATATGTAAAAATCAGTACTTTCTAGGGTTTAGGTTTATGTCCAAAAGAGCTTGAAAACTGGAATAATATAATTATATTAATATCTAATTGCGCAGTGCACTAACAAACGAGGACAAATGCATACATACAATAATATATATATATATATATAATAACCGAAAAATAAAGAGAACAGGGAAATTATATACCCGAAGAAACCAAAAGCTTCAAAGCTTGAAGCTTTTTTCTTTTGCTGGTCAACAAAACCTGCAAGCTCTGCAAATGATTGAGAAAAACTCCGATATCAAATAAATACGGATTCCCTGAATCGTATTCTGTAGAGAAAATCCGAATTCGAATTCGAATTGTGAGAGGGAGAGAAAGAAATGGTGGATGGCGGGGGGAAAATATCGCAGATAGCGGGCGAGAAATTGGCGTAAGGCGGTGGTGGCGGTGGTGGGAAGAGCTGAGAGAGTAGAGAAGGAGAGAGTGGGAGTTGAGAAGAAGCGGCTATCTCGCTCTTGTTGTCGTTTTCTGGCAGAGCGGCCATCTCCACGTTTTGTGCCCGCCCAGCTGACATTTGGGTTGGTGAGGTGCGTAGACGCGAGAGTATGGAATGGGAGCGTACTCGCTGTGCTATGGGGCCATGTGGTTGTTACTGTAGGGATTTCGAAGAGGAGTAATCATGATCGCAGGTTCGATGCGGCATTGGGGATATCAAACGGCTGAAAAGCTATTATGTTTTGACGTTAAATGAAAAGCCGCGGATTTGATGTGGATGATCGCCACGTGTCTGTTGTGGATTTGGTTGGAACCGGATCCCCTACTGAGCACATCACACGGACCGTTAAAATTTGATCTAAGGACTGTAATTATTTTAACTTTTAGAGGGTCCCCCCTATTTGTAGCATTTGGATCAAATTTCAACGGCTCAGATCCTTTGCTCAGGAGACTCAGCCTCTGGTTTCGATTTGGTTAAACATATCCCCTCATAAAGGCGATGCTGAATTGCTGATTGGTGATCCCAGCCAACATCTGCTTACAACGACATCGTTTTATGGTGTAATAGGTTTTGAGACTTTTCTTAGATAAATTTTTCAGCTCGGAACACTTCTATCTATTTCACGTGTCATAATATATGTATAGATACATTTCATATGATAGAAAAAGACAAACATAATTTATTCGTCTAAGAATTTATTCATTCCCCCACCTTGAAAGTTCAAAAGAATATACGATTCCTAATTTCAATTGTACTTTTATCTAGTCAAAAGAGAATTTTGCTCATAATTTTTGTCTCAAACTAGAAGGGGTTCGCTTTGCTTTCTTAAGGATGAACTCGCACATATTCGACCCAATAAGAGCATCTCCAAATGAGATGTTAAAATTGATATGTAGGCATACAACAGTAAAAAATGGCAGCAAATTCTCTCCAACCGAGCCTTCAATTTCTTAGGTGGCACTGAGTCATTTGAAGGCAAATCCAGCAGATGTCAAATTTATTAAATAATATTTTAATAGATTAATATTATATATAATAAATGTTGTTATGTTTTTGAAATATTTGATTGGTTGACTTAATCATTGGACTCCACAAAAAGATACAAATTTATTAAATAACATTATTTTTGAAATATTTGTTTGGTTACCTTAATCATTGGACTCCACAAAAAGATAAAAATTTATTAAATGACATTATTATTTAACATATCGGATGGAGCAAAATATTGTACAAAATGTCAAATTGCCACTTAAGCTATCAACTATCATTTTGATGCTTAAAATTTTACATTTCCTTTATAGATGCTCTAAAAAGGCAAAGCAGTTATCAACATGCCGATACCAAAGACAGAAAAGAATATGGGCTTTTCGGGCAGGTTGATCTCTTCCTACATGTACATGAAGCAACGAAATGGATGAGGAAATAATGTGCACCACCCAATCGCATATGATGGAAATTGGACTAAACAAAAAAGCTAGATTAACGTTCTTAAGTGATAAGAAGTGCCCACATTTACCATCTCTAAGCCAAGCAAAGTATACTTCTAGCTCCACTAGCTAAACAATCAAACAGCATAATCAAGCACTAGGGCGACCCAAGTCAAAAGACTTTTTGCTTTGGAAGTATCGGGAGGAACGTTTATTGCACGCAATCCCATCTTTGCTATGCGACATTTTGATCACAAAAAGGCATTCTTTCCAATGAGCTAGAGCTCGCCCAACATAACCATGCACTAATTTTACGAAAACCTTACAATGCTCTTATGTATGACATGCACCCAATTATTGAAGTAACTAGTTCATGAAATCACACATTCTCTTGTTTTTTTATACTAACAAACATCGACATCATCGATACATATACCGCTCATAACATTAGTAGACAACATGTTAGTGAAAACACATATCGCTAAACACCTACAATTCCAAATAAAACTACAAAAACCAAAGCAATCAAATATATTTTTCAGCATAAAATTACAATTCCAACTGCATTGAGAAAATTGAAGCAAGAGAGCAATGACATATCGCTAAACACCTACAATTCCAAATAAAAAGTACACAAAAACAAAGCTCATTTGCTAAAACGCCCGAACCGGATTAATTAAGCGCTAATTCATGATTAAACAATGTTAATCTTCGCCCCGGCGGCTTCCAGCTGCTTCTTCGCCTCCTCCGCCTCGTCTTTCGAAATTCCTTCCCGGAACTTCTTCGGCAAACCCTCAATCAACTCCTTCGCTTCCTTCAGCGCCAGGCTCGTCAACGCCCTCACCGCCTTAATCACCGCGATTCTCGCGTTGCTCGGCACGTCCTCGATGACGACATCAAACTCCGTCTTCTCCTCCACGACGGCGGGGCCATCGGCTGCTCCTGGCGCCACAGCAACTGCGGCGGCTGGGGCAAGAGCCGCGGCGGAGACACCGAGCTTGTCCTGGAGGTAGTCGACGAGGATGCGGGCCTCCTCGAGCGTGAGGCTGGAGATGTCAGTGCCGAGCTTCTCGATCTTTTCTGGGGCTCCGACGGCGGCGAGGGGGCGTATGTGGGTGGCGCGGTGGGTGAGGGTAGGGTTTTGGGGGTTGAAGGGGAATTGGAGGGTGGGCTTGGGGGAGTGAGAAGGGAAGGAGGAAGCGGAGGTTGTGGCGGGGTAGGAGGGAGTGCCCAATGTGAGTGTGGAGAGAGTGGCAGCCATTGTTGTGGATTTTTGAGGTCTGAGAGAGAGAGAGGGAGAGCGAGAGAGAAATGGAGAGTGGGAAGATGATAGGATAAGGAATTGTGGAGCTAAAATGTCAATGGGTGATATCGGATGAAGCTGCTGGGTTTTATTTGGTTGACGATTTTACCCTTATGAAATGTTATAATTTTCCTGCAAAGTGCACGGTAGTTCCGTCGTTCTTCAGGGGTACAAAAGGTATGTGAATAGCATTTTGAAAAGGCCTAAAAAACAGAAAGGCCGACGACAGGGGCATTCCGAGAATCGAACTCGGGACCTCTCGCACCCAAAGCGAGAATCATACCACTAGACCAAATGCCCACTTATGAACTTAAATTTATGACTTGATTATTATTTCAAATCATGTAGTTAGACGGGGCACAACACCGTATGTTATTATACAATTAGATGAAAGTTTTTCTTCAAGTGTCTCTCCAATTGTATAATGACATGTGGCGTACCGTCCCGTATTTAAGGCATATTGAAAAATCTCTCTTATTCAAGGCCTTCTCTCTGTGGTCTAAATTGGTTGGTTTCTTACCAACACCTTTCACTAGCAATGTGGAGAACATATTAGATTATGTTAAAGTGCAACTACAATGTCCATACATTGGTCAGGCTAATTGGTTATACCGGTGTGATTGTCCTTTTGCATAAACAACAGAGCAATTTAAAATATCACTTTGTAAAAAAAAGTACGATAAAGCACTTCAAATGAGGAAAAACAAAAATTGAGAAGAGATTGGATGAAACAAGATAAACTATCCTTCCTAATCAATCTAATTCTCGGTTGTGTTCTTATATTGGATTACAAAATTGTAATCGTGAGCAGCATATTTTTCCGAAATTTGAGTAACTCAAATACTCGTTCTTAATAAGTAAACAACACCTCATAAATTTATGCGCTCGACCCAAATATTGCTCAGCACAAAAAAATTTACAACGAAAACGCCCACATCAACTATCCAGATATTTGATATGGCAGACCAACCAAAGCCCACATCAACTATCCAGATATTTGAAATGGCAGCCCAACTTAATAGTTTTAAGCCCAAAGCCCATATTCCAGAGATTTTGGTACACGGATGCATATAATTCTTTGTATTTCATTAATTATTTACAACGACAGTTTTGCTTCCTCAATATATTTGATCAAATATTTGAGGCATCTCTCAATCTCCTACACCTTTCAATGCCACACACAACACGGTTATAGTACAGTCCCCAAACATCTGCTCACCACCTCCGGCGCTTCCTTCCGTACCAATACGCAAACGCTGCTATCGATGCAGCCACAACAACGCCGGCAGTTGCATGAAAAGCGTACATTGGCCTCTCCTGAACGATGCCAGAACTGGTAACACCATGGGGTGGTGATGATGGCAGTGGTTTCTGCCCAATTGTCAATGCGAAACCCAAACCTTGCCTTTCCAACTCAGCTAGGTCCTCAACCTCTGGCTTCAGCTTGGTGGCCTTGGCTATAGCTTTATACTCTTCCTTGGTTCCGCCTTCGAGAAAAGACCCGACAAGTTGACCTTTTCTTACCCAATAAGCCCCGAATGTGCCTCCTGAGAAATCTCCGAAATGGACTACATCTCCTGCATTGTCCCCGTAAAACTGCCAAGACAGGGTGAAGATTCTCGAGTAAAAGAATGGTAGATAGTCGAATTCATCAACTTGGTTTTGTTCCATTATTGCAGTAACAACGTGTCTTGCGGATTTTCTTGCTGAGTCAACGTGTTCGAGCCTTCTGGACTCACCAAATACTTTTACTGGAAATGTGGCAACATCTCCCACTGCATAGACTGAGCTATTACTTGACTGCATCTTTCCATTCACTTTGATCCCACCTTTCTCCAGCGTTAGTTGACCTTCAAACAGGCTCACGTTTGGACGGATTCCTATTCCCACAACAACCACGTCTGCAGGAAGACTACTTCCATCTCTAAGATTAACAGCAGTCACCTGTACAAGGATTGAGCAGAAAAATTTAGCATTTCAATCGCATCAAATTCAAAGAAAATGTATACATATAACTATGGAACCAATGTTTTCTCTATTTAAGAAAGTACAGAATTTGTTTTGACGAAAGCATCTCAATAACCACTCAAAGTTCATGTTATTCCAGAAGAATTTAACATCTACCTTCCCGTCCGAGTCAATGTCAAACGAGGACAAAACGGTTCCTTTAACAAACTTCACTCCTTTGGATTTGTAAAATTCTTCATAAAAACTTGCGATCTTGGGTGTGAATAATCGGGCCACTGCAAAAACCAAAAGCATTGATCCATTTGCTTACAAGAACTCTTTCACCACAAATTGAACAGATGCCCCCCAGGCCCCAACACAGAAAAAAAGATGCAACAACGTTTGGTCTGCATCAGAATAAAAGTACTTACTGCAATGTTCTTCTGGAAAAACCATCGTTACATTCATCCTATTGATCACTAATGATGCAGCACACTCCATTCCAATGTAGCCACCACCAATGACAATAGCATTCCCACCAGAGGAAGATTCCATCAAGTTTACTAGTCTATTGGCATCAGCCAAATCTTGTAAATAACACACATTTTCAGAATCTGATCCTTTGACTCCAAATTCTTCCAGCTTCAGTGCCTATTTTCGACACACAAACACATATCCATTAAATGGAGAAAATGAATTTTCCTTAGCATCCTATACTTCGGAAATACCCCTTAAACTAATAGCGTTCTATACTCTGAAAATAATGTCCGATGCAACCACATTAACACAGCTGTAGAAAAGGTAATTAGCACTTTATAGGTCTACTACAACATTTTAACTCCTCAATCAGGTTTTGTTACTCGTTTACTTGAATTCGTGGTACATCAATATTGCTTATATTGTATTTGAAACTTTCCATTATACTTCTTTTAGCAATGACAGAACATATACAGCAAGAAAAGCAAAAAGTAAAATAAGATCAGTTTCAATACCCGAGCACCTGTTGCAATGATGAGAACTTTGTAACTTATAGTCTCTCCAGATTCTGTCAGTAGTGTCTTGCGTCTCACATCAACAGACTTGACTCGAGTTCCTATAACTAATTCGATCCCTATAAAGAAGAAGATACAAATTATATTTCAGTTTATCTACTTCGATTTTATTGATAAAGCACCACGGTTTTTACCAAAAGTGATTACGGAAAGCACAAACAAAAAAAATACCACCCCCTATGATTCCTATTAACATATAAAGTCAAAGAAGCAAGACGTCATAGATACTTACCATGCTCCTTATACCATTTTGGAGTTAACCTTTCCTCATTAGCACCGACACAAGTATGAAATGATGGAAGGCGTGCAGGCGCTGCACATGAACACAATTTGCAAGAATCAAGTCAATGCAGAATTTCAGAAAGAGATATGTGTGAAGTAACTACCATCAATGATGAGAAAGCATTTGCTGAAGGCATGTATCTAATACGGCGGCCAAACATTGATGTCTAATGTCTGTGATATAGAAACATTATATACCTTCTGGAAGTAGAAAGCCTTTGCTTAAAGCAGGTCTCTCATAAGGTGGAACCTGAAAATGATATAATCGCAACCGTTGAATCTCCCGAATCATGGAATTTACTTTCACAGAATTGATCACTTATGTTACAAGTTGGTTCATGAAAATGGCGACCCCAAACCAACCAAGCTTTGCGAGGGTTGGGGGGAACGTCTATAGTAGACTAGCCTTACCCTTGCTTTGCAAATAGGCTATTCCCACAACTCGAACTAGTGACCTTTTGGTCACAAAGGAGCTACATTTCCATTGTGCCAAGGCCTCACCCTCAAAGTGTTTCACTCTTGTTTTCGAAAATTACTCAAAGCAATACTATTCCATACCACTTATGTGAGAGGGTTCATAATCGTAGGTCCAACGGTTTACATTGTTCAGTCCAATCAGCTAAAAAAATTCAAGTCCATTTTCCAATCCCACAACCAATTGGCAATGCAAAGTTTGCTTAACTTTCTCATGCAGGACAACTCTCCACATCCTCACACACTAAACAATGTTTCAATACAAACCCAAATCCTAGAATTTGAAATAATATAAGAATCATGTATCTTTTCCTGTTTTATCATAAAATAAAAACACAAAACTAAAGCTTGCAAATTGCAAATTGCACACCTATTAATATATATATATATATATATTATTTCATGATAAAACAAATGAATTATCAGCTATGAATAATTGAATTCATGTAGAAAAAAGAACTCACTGATTCTTCAGAAATGATGCAGAGCTCACCATGGGAGATGCCTCTCTTGGTGAATTCAAGAGCTGCATACCCAGCAGCCACCCCTCCTCCCAGAATAACATAAACAAATGCCCTTCCCATCTCTCCTTATTTTCCCTCTTGTCCCTCCCTCCTTTATTTTTTATTTTTTATTTTTTTTTCTTCTTTCACTGGAGTGTGGAAGAAGAGATTGAATTATATGTATATTTAATTTCTATGATTTTCTGGTTGGGAGAGCTTTCCTTTGAAGAAATGCTCTCCCGAGGAAGATGAACAAATGCTGAATGTGAAGTCAGACAGGATATCATCGAGAGAGAGAGAGAGAGAGACAGAGCTGCCTCCTTTTACCATCTACCCTTCATTGGATTTGCATCTGGATACCGTTGGATGGAGAAATTTTTCCACATGCGGAAAGATGATTCGGTACAATAAATGTTATAATTTAAATGGTTAGAAATTATTATTTTTAAATATTTAGTCATTTATATAATAACATTTGATGTGGCAGGCCGTATTTCAATACGTTAAAAAATCTTTCCAAATGAGGATTATCTATGGGACCTGCGACTTGATCGTGAGGATCTTTCTTTTGTTTTTATGAGGTCGGGCCAGCGAGTGATGTGGTGACACGTGTAAGGCGGCTATCATGCCATGTGGTGGTGGATAAGAATGAGGATCCTTTTCAGATCTTGTTTGTGAGGATCTTAGAGATCCTCAAATCATATTCATTCATCGTATATCGTGCGGTCAGAAATCATTTTAAATATTTTTATTTAAATTAAATATGAATAGTACTTGATGAAAACTAACCGCACGATATATGATGAACGGACACGATTGGAGTGGATAATATAAGAATTTGTTGGTACTAGGAATTTTGGAAATAGTTTGAGGAATATGAGGTTGGATGGAAGTGAGATGATATGAAAATTATGAGCCAACAGAATCGTGGATTAGGTAGGTTAGTGTTTCCGCCACACGTTCCCTTCTTTGAACTATCCTCTCCTCCATCTCTTCAATATTATACGTTTTTAGAAAATTTTACTAATATCAATAAATGCAATTCACATATCGTATTATTTTATGTGTTATAAAAAAATTAAAATATAATTGATATGTCTTACTTTTATAAAGGCTAGTATATCTTCTTAGTAGATAATGCTTTGCCTTTACGAAAATTTTACTTCTACTAATTTTTTTTTTTTTAATTTTGATTGCATTAATTGACATGATTCGTGTAATGTGTGAGGGTTTGAATCCTAGTTTAAGGTTTATAGGGCTGTTTTGGGGTTAAGGTGATTTTTTTTAAAGTAGATTACAAAAAATGGAGTTTTAATGAAACATTTTTGGTATCGTTCATTTTTAACGGAAATAATTTTTTTACTCTAAAAAATCACTCTTGGTATTATTCACTTACAACACATTTTTGTCTTTTTGATTAAAAATCAAAGTTTTCAAACAGTTTTTCATTAGTTTTCCTTACAAAAAAAAAGTTGAGATCTGAATTGTGTTTGATAAAAAGGAAAGAAGTTGTTTTTTTCTTTTTTTCAAAATTGCGAGTCACTGGCAGCTAAAAGCAGAAGCAGGCCATACCATCCTTCCCTTCAAAGCGCTTATTTTCGCAGCATGCCGGTAAACACTGTTATTTTCTTTGGTGTAATTACTTTTTCTTTGGGCCGAAACTCGAAACCTCGTATAAGGCATAAACCTGGCCCAACAACCTTCCAAGGAAGCAAGTTGTCAAACTTTAGCTATGGGCCTTATATCTTGTCCATTTGGTAGCTCCAAACCAGGGTCCAGTTGTATCTTATGGGCCATCAAAATCGATCACCAAATCCGATTGAATATTTATAAAAATTTTTTTTGAACAAATATTATAAGTAATTTTAAACACATTATTTTCTCTTGGTAATTTCAAGTCTTCAAAAAAGTGAAAAAGGTGGAGTTGAGATTCTCTTCGGATCTCTGTGTTTGAAGCAGCTAGACTAAAAAATTGAGCTGTTCAAGAAAAGTTATTATGACCATTCAAAAATTTCATTTTTCGTGAGATGAGCCCGTAGAGCAATTGAGGACCGCATGATTTAAGTTGAGTTGTCCAAATTTTTTGAATCTGACTGCTCTGGACACAAATAAATAAAAGGAGAGGAATTAAACAAAGTCTAGTAAATAAATAAAAGGAGAGGAATTAAACAAAGTTTTTCAAGCATGGATCACGTTTTTAATGGGTCCTCTAATTGGAATCCAATTGTCTTGGTAAGCGTCGATTTAATTAAGTTTTAAGTCGAATTGAAAAGGTATTGGACGGTAAGACGAAGGTATCAACTATCACTAAAATAGTTGACATGGTTATTTAACTTATTTGAACCCTACTTTTTTTTACGATATATTAGAAGCGTGAACTATAATATTGTTCGACTATAAATTTAGACAATATTGTTTTCCATCAAAATTTCATGAAGTTATAATCTAACCACTGATATGCCAACTTATTTGCCAAGATAAAGCTTTGGAACAATCTTAATGGTCATAGTTCAGATTAATAATCCGACAATATAACGTTTTAGAGATGTTGGTAAGTCCAGTTTTCCTGATATGTGATGTATAAGAAATAAATAGAAGGATTGGTTGTTGCATATGCAATTAATAGAAGACGAAAGTTTAACCTCCAATTGGGAAAACATCTCGGTTGCATATATTTTCATCACCTATTCAATGTCGACCTTCTTCCTTGATGAACAAGAACTTTCGCTTTCATCCAATTTCCTACGATTTGTCACCATCAATCCCTCACATCTTCACGAGTGATCATCATGGAATCACATAACTTATCTAAAGCATGACATATATATTCTTTGTCGGCACCACTGACTTCTGTTACCATTTAGTGAGAAATTGCACTTGAACATCTCCATTATGACAATTTAATCACTCAATAATTCACAAATCACAAATACAGTAGTCGATATTGAGGTTTGCAACTTCATCATCCCTCCCTCGCATGTTCACTAGTGATCATCATGGAATCACATAACTTTTGTAATGCATGAAATCTATATTCTTTTTCGACACCACTAACTTTTATTACCATTTCACACTGGTGCTGTTGTTGATACTTCAAAAATATGTTATAAAAATTTAGAGAGAAATTACATTTGAACGAGTGCATCATGACATGCTGTAGAGTTTTACAACAACTTCATAGCTCCAAAATTCACAGATCATAAATATTGTCGGCTATATTTTAGTTCGGGTGTGCAACTTCACCATCCCTCTCTAACCTGTCAACTAGTAGTCATCATGGAATCACATAACTTTTCAATAGCATGCCATTCAAAACCCTTGTCTGCACCATTGACTTTCATTACCATTTCACATTGGAGCTGTTGACGCTCTAAAATTGTCCTATTACATACTACTTTACAAAAATCTAGCAAGAATTCTCACTTGAATGACATATTTTAGAGTGTCATAACACCTTCATCACTCCATAATTCACAAATAACAAATATTGTAGTCGATATTTGGCTCATCAATATCCAAATCCATTAATTCATACATTGACTTTGGAACCATGGTCCTTAATTTGCAGGCCACCGATAAACTAATGGCACTTTAATTGAAAACTTTATTTGAATTAGAGAAGATCTAGTGAACCCCAAAAAGGCCCGATAGTCAATTAATTAACTAAAACTAGATTACGATTTCACGGACTTAGCTAGCAAGGATATTTTGTTATCAACATGAACCCATGTACAAGTTTTCTACATTCATGGCCGACCCAACATGTGAATTTTTCCCATCTTCCACGTGATCTTTATCGTTTGTGCTTTGCGATCAATTTCAATTGAGCATATAAAACATGTGACTGAAAAGAACGAATGGCTGAGAGACGAAATTGCTTTTCCTATTGCCTTTTGCAACAGCCAAAGATCTGTATTCGATCATATTTTGCCATATTTGGCAATGCAAAGTCGACGAAATGGTCCCTTGAGGTTCTTTTCTGAGCTGTTTCTTTCGATAAAGGTTGGATGCTAAAGTTTAAGGTTCATTAAAATTCTCGTCCGATCTGCTATCCAGGACAACCTAATTTTGTTTGTTTCTTATAACTCAACTGTTATTGTAAGGCATAAAACATAGAAGTTGTTAATTAAAGAATGGATTAAACTAATATCGCACTAATACGATCTCCCTTGAAGAAGTACGTTGACTAATCATATAAAGCTATCAAAATATCCAAAAAGAACTAATTAACCTGTTAAAATCGGCTCAAGTCATGCCGAGTGGATAAAATAAAAAAAATAATAGAACATAAACATGCTTATAGTTCCTTAATTAAAGTCATCAAATCATTAAAAAAACGAAAATATAATTATGATGAAACCTAAACATGTTGAGCAAAAAAATACAGAGCCCAGATTATTGATTTAGATCTTGAAAATTATAAAGAAAGCAAACTATGAATCAAGATTCAAGACTATTTATACTAATTAAAATCTCAAACAGTTTAATTACTTTGTATATCTTCAACAAAAACAATAAAAACAGATTAATTACGATACATTAATTATAAAATATATGTGCGATGAGAATTGCCATGTGTTAGCACGTTGGACTAGTAGATACCATAAAAATATAAGAAATTAGAAGTATAAATTTGTAGGGAAAATAAAGTATGGAGTATAATAAGAAGCATGTGAAAACTTGCTTGCGGTGGGTGCAAGTTAGGTTCACGTCGAACATCAGTTTTGCATGGCCATGCACAACTCTGGAAAGCCGAGACCAAATCTGACAAGAATAGCCATATTAGCTTTCCGCGTGTCGATTTCCCAGCGGTTCATTTTTGCTGTATCAATTGTATCACGGCATGGGTATCTTCATCCTTCTTTCTTCGAATCTTCATGGGCATCACCACTTCCAATTTTCATGTGCAAACTCATCCTAAATAAAAGCTGTGTGATCAACTCAACTAAATCGTGAAGCTTATTAATATATAAGAACGATCAATATAAGCGTCTATCTCAATAATTATATTCAATCTCGATACTACAAAAAAAAATCTGACATTTAATCATTGACATTGATTGCACATAATGAGGTGAGTAAAAAACTTCAATGACTAGTAACTTATTAGCTACTGATATGTAAGATTTACTCCCTCAATTAGCCATTGTCGTACTTCTACTTTTTTCAGCTCGTTCTGTGCAACTAATTTAAATGGTTAATGTCGAACTTTTTCAGCTCGTTCTAAAATTTAATCATTGACATTGATTGCACATTATTCCCGGTACTCTTGTTTATGCCATATAAGGGAGAAAATTGAAAAGCTTAATTTCCTATTACAAACTAATTAAAATTACGTATATATAAAGACCATATATTTACATATTTAAGAAAAACACACATACATATATGTATTTATATACTAAGTTTTCATATGGACAAACGTAAGTTTTCATATGAAATCGGTTGTTTAATTACTCTCCATTTAGCAGTTGCATAGACCAGAGATCCTCCATGCTCCAGTAGTTATCATTAGATTGATCAGCAGGTAAAGGAGGAGGATAAGCATCCATATTTGCTTGGTGTGTTGGTGCGGAGTGGGAAATATCCATTGTGTCTAGAGTTTTAGAGATTGACACTTGACTTGTGCTTGCTTGATCATTGACCTCAGAGCTTTGTCCTGGTGTAATATTCTCAGCTTGCTTAATGTGCTTTTGAATTCTAGTCCTCCAATAGTTCTTGATTTCGTTATCAGTCCTTCCCGGTAGATGTTTTGCGATTTTCGACCACCTGAGTATTGCAAGAAACACTGTCAAAAAAAAAAAAAAAAAAAAATTTGCAATGGGCCAAAGTTAATAAATGATTGGACAAGTACTTGTACTGGTATAGTAGTTGCTAGCTAAAAAATCCCAGAAGAAAAAAGCTGTCTTAATTAGAAAGCACACTCACTAGAACAACATGAGAAAAGCTGCTATAAACACAACCAATTAACAGCAATAAACCCTAACCTTAAATTATACCTGCAACTTGACCATGGTTGTGCTTTGGGTGGAACTGAATATATGTGTGTGTGTGTGTGTGTGTGTGTGTGTGAAATAAAACTTTATAGCAATTAACTATTTGTAAAAATTCCAAGTCATGCATGTTCCATGGGTGAGATTGAAAATCCTACAAGTCCCCGCTGGACTTCTTTTATTTATATATTAGGCAGACCAGGAGCTGGACTCCTTTTATTTATATATAAGGCAGACCAGGACACAGAGACTTCGTCATTTACATAAACACAGAAACATTTACTTTCCATACGTGTATATTCATATTATATACACAGATCTTACAAACTCCTCCAGTTCATTCGATCTCCAAGTTTCCATGTTCAAACCCCCATTTACTTATACCTTGAGCTTCAAAGGGATAGCTCAGAATCTTTTTATATATATAAGGTATTCTGATTGATATTACTAATCCCATTATTCTTTCTTATGGATAATATCATACTTATATATATGTATATATGGTGCCCTTTTGTCCATGAATATTTATCAGGTGAAGGGGTCGAAAAAAACTATCCTGATTTGGCAGAAAACTGGGCTAAATGCAGGAGAAAAATTCTTCAAGATAGTACATTCCATTTAACGCACATTAATATTGATCATAATTTAGTGTCCTACCTAACCATGTTCCTAGAATTAGTAACTATCATTTGAGATTTTTAAACTCTTTGATTAGCAGTTAAATTATGATTAATTTCTTAGCAGAAAGCTCTCGTTGCGAGCGCTGCCTCCATGCATATTATTAGTACGATCAAAAGAATACAAGCATCCAAAACAGTATGGTTCACGTCGGTTTCAACCAAAGTAAAAGGTTTTGTCCTTTACTTCAAAGTGAGAGCTAGGGTTGGCATGTGAGAAACTGACAGGGGTTTACCTATGAATGGAAGGTTTCTATTGCTCCAAATACTTTTTTGGGTCGACTTCACCAAAGTGCCTCTTAATATATATCACAAAGTCCAGTCCACCACCACATCTAGTTTGAGGTATTTTTCTTCCCACATAGACAAACAGTTTCCAAATCTGTAATTTGGACTTTATCATTAATGATTATGATTTATTAATAACACGAAAGAGCATTCTAATTATTTTTAATTTTGTTACCAGTTATAACAGCTCGTTTCGTCTTCTCATATCAAAAAATTCATCCTCAACATATATATTCTTTTAATTTGGTCACAAATGATAGTTTCTCTGAATTTCTACCCTACTCGTACTGTTCTACTCATTACATCATCTATTCTTACCACTGGGTTGATCTCAATGATTTATCTCGATAATTTTTTTGACATTTCATCACGATGATTTTTTTATTTCAGTTCATCTCGATATATATTGGAACAAGTCATAAGAGCGGAACTTTGAAAAAAACAAAAACACGCCACCCCCCCACTAAAAAAAAAACAATTTCATGGGTCCATCCAACACAAGAGAATTACATATATATAGAGAAGCTATGCTACACAGAGTTGTCCTGCAACACACGTGGGAGAGCTTTAAGCTGTTGATTTGGTGGATTCCAATACATGTAAACCCACTCAACCAACGACTGTTGAAGATGGTACACCAATTATGGATAAGTACCACATTTCAATTTTTTTAAATAAAAGAAAAAAAATGATCAATTACTTGTCCTTCTCAGTAAATTAGCTGGCCTGGAGATATCTAAAATTATTTTGGAGAATAAAAAAGGGTTGTAAGCAATAATTATGATGTTGCCCTTGACACAGATCCAACAATCTGGTATAATTGGTAATAGTTAAAGGATACGTCCACTGCAATGATTTGTCACAAGCCTCCAGAAATCCATATACCTTATAACATACCTATGAGAGATCGAGGGACAATGCTCGGTGATGAGTAAGAGTAGGTTATATCTAGGATTCGAAACTCTCTATTGTTACCCCCAAAAAGATAACAGAGACACAGAGAACGGTTGAGGCTGAAAAATGTAGCAAAGATTTTGCAATCTTCCGGATGGATGAAATTGCTGTAATAGAAAAATATGTATGCAGAATCAAAATGAAGGACAAGAATTGAATTGGGAGTTTTGTAGCCCTAAATACAAAGAAACAGATCTTTCTCAGGATTTTTGCTGTCAAAATTTTGTTGGAAAATAGCAATTAAACCCTACTTCTTCATACACAATTACCTCTCTCTCTCTCGGTTAGGTTCAAAACTATTCAAATAGGGCGGCTGACAAGTGATCAAAGCCCGATGAATCAAAAAGAAGAAACCTAGCTACTTAGCCATCCAAATTAAGAAGGTAACGAGGAGAAGTAGAATAGTTGGTCATAAGACTTGCAACTTATCAAATCATATGTATATACCTGTCCTTGTCGTTAAATTATCAGCGTACTTACATACTTACCTTAATGTTTTATATGTGAATAAAAATAAAAATAGGAATGATCACCTGTTACCCCACTTTGCATGCAGTTCCATAATCAAAAGTTGTTCCTCAGGAGTGATATTGCCTCTCCGAACATCAGGCCGCAGATAATTCAGCCACCGGAGTCGGCAGCTCTTCCCAGTACGTTTGAGACCTAGTAACATAATATAAACCTAGTGACATATTATATAATATGTGGACATGTAGTTCTAAATTATTGAATTGTTCTAGCTGGGGTTTGATATATACATAAATAGCTAGGGATCAAACATGTTAATTAATTAATTACCAGCAGCTTTGGCTAGGGAGTTCCATACACCTTCACCATGATTTGCAATGTAGTTGATGAGAATCAGATCTTCTTCCATGGTCCATGGCCCTTTTCTCACTTCAACATCCTGGGATGAACTATTGCATGGATTTTTATCCATTTGGTTTCTATGTTTGTGCGTTTTGGAGAGAGAGAGAGAGAGAGAGAGAGAGAGAGAGAGAGAGAGAGAGAGTCAGTTGGGCAAGATAATAAGAGATAATGGGTAGCTGGGGGTTCTTATAGAGGGAGAGCAAAATATTTTTTCACAGCAATATTACTGAGTTAATCAGCATTAGTCGAGAGCTTTTAATATTAACTCGTTCAATCAATTATACAAGGATGTATATTATTGTCCATGACACGTACTTATTTGCATGCATGACTTTCGATTGGTTCGGGTAGAATAAAATCTGTATACAAAAATTTCCATGTATCCGCGAACATAAACACATGCCCTCCTACGTAAGCATAATGTATCCAGAAACATGTGCATGCGTAAGTTTAGGTCTTAGAGATATTCAATTTTTAGAAAAAATCAAATTGAAAGGACCATATATACGTACACACAGATATACATACATATAATCATATATATATATATATATATGCATATACTCTATATATATATAGAGTGTGGTTCGATGAGTATTCGAAAACTAAGCATTAGGTGTTCAGAGACTCATGGTCCTCAATCACAACAGATTCCATATGAATTTATTGATTTGAAGGTAATTAATTCAACGTTGTTCCGGTCGAACTTAAAGTTTAGGGTTCATTCTTCGGACTCTCGAAACCCGAGAATAAACCGTAATGCATGTCCATATATATTGGTGATGCTAGAGAGATTATTTACTAATAAATTGTAATGCAGGTCAATATATATTAGTGATGTTATAGAGGTCATCTACTTAAATCATATTGTGTAGACCACATGATGTGATAGTTGATTGTTAGATTCTTTGTTTAAATCATTAAAGAAAGTATTCAACCATCAATCGGCACATCATGTGGTTTACAAAATATGATTTTAAAACATGGTATTCCTGTAGCATTTTCCTGTATATATAACTATGCCACTTAAACGAAATGAAGTGTGTCCTTAACTCGTTGCTCTAGAAATTAATATAGTTTGATGCATGGGTACATGTGCATTATCATTTGAGTAATGCTGCACTTATCACAATTTTCATACCACATTTGTCTCATCTCTTCCATAGAGATAGAGTCTATCAACATACGTGGGTCTCATCTTTATTGGAGAGTTTGTACAAAATATATGGTAAAGTATTATTTTTGTTATCTTTTTCATCCTTTCCACCGTTGCATGTGTACGGGAAAACCCACTATATATCATTTTTGACAATTTCTAAAACATTTGATTTATTTCCAACAAAAAGAACATCAGAGTTACACATATCACTATATCAGTATATCAGTTATATACACACACATGTTTGTGTGCCGGATGCTTGTTCATCGTCATCTATATGCAAATTGTGCTATGTTTTTACTCCCTAATTAATTTGATTATTGCGTTAAATAGCACGCAAAAGTAATTATATGTGGAGTAGTACGTATTACTGTGTGGATAATGTATTAACACTACACTCAGTATCGAAGAAGAAAAGCAAAGAAGAAATATTGCAGAAGAATGTAGAGAGAGAGAGTGAATGAACTGTTGTATTGAATGAATTGATTGAGACTACAAGGATTTCTGTTATATAGGCTACAATCTTAGCTTCTCAATTAAACTACTAACAGCTAACTAACTTTCTTATCCTTTTAACAGTCTAACAACAATCCTAAGAACCTTAGCTGACGGGTAAGCCATCTGTCAAACCTTTTGCTGATGTGTGTATCAGTCAACATAATGCATGCATGTGCGGCACAGTTGGAAATTCTCTGGCGAAGCCAGAAGCTGACGACATGATACCGATCGTCGATTCCACTGTTTCTTTGAGTATCCAACTTCTGTTTCTCCATTTTACATGCACGCACAACTTATACACACACAAATATATACGGTTCCAAACTATAAGTCTGTAGTTAATTTCTTCGCGTTCCCATCCCTGTGTTAGGGATTGGGCTCTTGAGTTTGTAGTATTGTTTTTTTAATAAAGTTAAGGTTTTATCATAAAATTAATTGGTCACGTAAAGAGTAGTTCAATTTTGTATAAGCACACGCAAGCTTCCTTATATCCCCTAATATGAGATTTACTTCTCAACACACCATCTTCACGTGTGACGAAGACAACACAAACTGAGTGACATAGCACACGTGTAGCCAATGACACGTAGTCCAACTTTTACCGTGAAAAAAGTTAAGGTTCTACCATAAAATCAATTGACTGTGGTGGGGTGACTAATCCAATCTCTTATAAACTCCCTGCTTTTTCTGATGTGGATTAACTCTCAACATCTTTTCTTCTTTTGTTGGGTCTTCTTTTAAGCTGCAAATCACCTAATAGACGGATTTTCTATCCAAATCCAACAACAGTCTTTGGTTGATTTTTCTTTCTTTTTCTTTTTAAGTTCTACCTATAAAAAGTCCTTGTTTAAGCAAAAATCAAAAGTGCTTATTTAAGCAAAAGTCAAAAGTGCTTAACATACTCTTATAATCTCATAAAAATCATATAAAAATCCTCAGAAACAATATATATAAACTCAAAATATACAAATGCAATCAATAACATTATTTTTATCATCTTCATTCAAATATTTTGTGGATACTGAAAAACCTTGTTATTGTTTAGCCATAGATGTTCTTCTATTCATTCAATCCAACAACTGAAAATTAAGAGAGTATGAGAAGTAAAAATAAATGTGTAAATAGCACTACCATATTTTGTTGTTACTGCAAGGAAATCAAAGCTATGTTTGTTCGATTCGTACATGTTAATTAATGTAGATTCGTAGAAAGCCATAAGAGGACAAGTTGGCATTTATTACAAGTACAGAAGGTGACTTAAAAATCTTTAAGTTAAATACCTAACTAATGCCGTATTAGCCACTCATTACATGACTAAATAAGAAAGTCCTCTTCCCCGAAGTCATTTGGAAGTATACTCGTTTTAGAAACCCATATTGCCGCGAGGGAGGATGATTCTCTCTCTTTCCATTCCCTTCTATTTGAACGGTTACAGTTAAATTACGTTAACATCTTATATTGATTCTTTTATAAAGATAATAAGATAAAAAACAATGTGTGAGATGAGAGAAGGAAAAGGATGGAAATAAGAGGGGATAGAATCTTACTCCTGCCGTGCATTGTGGGTCTAAATTAGCTAAGCTTAAGAAAATGACTATTTTAATTAAGTAACCAACTACAATCCAAGATGCGTATAGTCTTTTTATCACACAAACAATTCTTTGTTTACTGCTAAACTCGCATGATCCACATCAATTAACGGTTATCAATAGTTGTGTGCACTATGATTTCATGTTGATCAATTGTTGCATTGCATTGACGAAAGTATTAAATTTAACCGGACTTGCCCCATCCTAATAAATACGATATATACATATCAACTGGATAAGCAAATTATGTCTATATCCATCCATAGCTGTGCGCTATAGGGTTAAGTGATATACGAACGCATGCTTTTGCTTATGAATCAGAGATAGTTTGGACAGAATCAAGTGCTCAAAGAAAAGAGGATGAGGCCTTAGTGGCTAGGAAGTTGTATGAGCACCACCATGGTCCCTTGATTTAGGCCACGACATGTGATCACAGCTAACAATCACACTTTATGGCCACGAAATTTGCCACGGAATGTACCACGGAGTTAAAAAAAATGAAATCTAGACAATCACAGCCAAGAAAACTGATGCTTTTCTATTTTGTGGCTGAGATCATAGACTAATCTGCAAGCTGTATCCTCACCCTAAAAAGGAACAAGACAAACTCACATTACGGATAAGATGGTGCTTGTCCAATTGCAAATCTGAACACTATCGATTAAGTAATTAGGTGTTACAGCAAGATTTGATGGGATTTCATAGATTTTTTTTCGTCATTTTAATTAATTGGGTTTAGATGAAAGCATTGTTTTCTTCATGTATGTTAACAGAGTAATGACTTGTGACATACCAATTAAGTGGTAACATGGTGCGAGTAAGATCGCTTTCGTGGCCAAATCTTGTGCAGGTGTGGACATTAATTAAGGATAAGGGTTTGCTTAGATTCTTGACAAAAAAAATTGAGGGGATGCTATTTAGATGCACAAAATTGACATAGTTTGCAAACATTATTTATCTCTAATACAAGGTTGTTTTCAAGAAAGTTGAGGTTCCACCATAAAACGAATTGACAATATGGGGAGTAGCCAAACTTGCTTGTAAGCTCATGAAAAATATCTTCTCTCATCAGCATAGGATTCAGTCTCAACACACCCCTTCACGTGTGACGAAATTTCAAGTATAGCATGTGGACAACACAAATCGGGTGACGTGGAGCATGTGTGGCCATTGAGCTTTACAGGTGGGACAACACGCTCTAATATCATGAAGAAAATTGAGGTTTCACTATAAAACCAATTAGCAATATGAGGAATTGCCCAACTTGCTTATAAGCTCATGCGAAGTCCCTCATCTCATCAAGATTCAGTCCTAACATAAATCGGCAAAAGGAGAAATCTTGCAAGGGTTTATAAGAGGTTGGACTATTCCTGATATTGCCAATTGGTTGTATGGTGAACCTTAACTTTCTTCATGGTATCAGAGCATGTTGGCCTACGTATAAAGCCTAATGGCCACACGTGCTCCACGTCATCCAATTTGTGTTGACCAAGTGTTTGACTTGAAAATTCACCATACGTGTGGGAGCGTATGAGGATGTGAAGATAAAAGAGTCTCACATTGGTGAAAGGATAAACCTTACAAGGGCTTATAAGAGACTAGTCTACTCCCCATATTGTTGATTTTTGTTTTATAGGTGAAACCTCAACTTACTTCAAATTTCATATACGATAATAGTGTAAGCCCCTATTAAAGAGTTTTGTGTCAACAAGTGTATTAATTTTGTGTGTCCAAACGAGTCCAAATTCGGGTGTGATATTAGATCTTGATTTAGGTCATTTGACTTATAACAAACTCACCGACATCTACATGTTATTGCCTTTATAATGGGTTCAGCTCAAAACGCGGATTGCACTTTATTTGAAAATCCAAAAAGTTGAAATCTTCATCTGATTTGTTAAATTTCCACTTAGTTTTGTTCAACTGCAATGGTTTTGTTTTTTCTGGATTGTGGGCTGAAGCTTAAAACCCGAAGAAAAAGTTCATGAAGAATAATACTCTCGCAGCTAGGAAGGAGACGCTTCAAAGATTCGGAGATGGAGGGTTGCAAAAGTGTGTAGGCATGAATCCACCTTCGATATAATCATCAACATAATTTCATTTGTGTTTCAACATTATATTGAATTATTTACATATTTTGTTGTTATAAGTCTATGTATCTCCGTTATAATCATCAACTTAATATAAAATTATGCTAATACATGTAATTATAATAGTATTACGTATTTATATGTACGTTTAGGAGTTTTTTTTTTTTGGTTGACACAAGCAAGATTAGAGGAGATTTGAACTCAAAACTTTAGGTGAATGGGAAAATGTTTTTAATCAACTGAGTTACAAGACTCATACAGGTTTAAAAGTATTTTAGATGACCACATTTGTAAATTATAAAGATTGTAGAGGTTCCTTAATATTATAGGCTATAAATTTGGACACAAATTAGAATTAGAAAGTAGTTTGGGATATTGTTGAAGTTTAATATTGTTTTTTTTTTTTAACAAACGATATTAAATGATATTATCTACATTAAGGGGGAGAGTGAGGGGGTGGGCATAGCCTCACAATGGGTTAGCAATAATATGGTTCAAATTCTCCTTTGGAGAGAATCAAACCTAAGATCTCTCACTTACAAATGAAGATGAATACCACTAGACCGTAGTACTAAATAGCAATGTCTCTCAGTTTATTTTCCTTTTCTTCTGGTAATATAGAAGTAGAAGTAGAACCCTCGTGGGCCGTGACACTCCAATTGGGTTTGACAACAGACTTCACGTTGGGTTTCAAACTCAAAGGTCCATTTGGGGCCCAAACGTTAAATTTAAATGTTCATCCTCATTTTTCATTTCAACTAGCCTTGTTAGAACTAGCCTTGAATCTAACAAGTTCTCAAATCCAATTCTGTGGTAAAAATCAAAGAACAGATCATTGCTTTTACCCAAGAAGAGAGGGAAGAAAAAACACATGATCTGTCAATCTGTAAAAAAAATCTTCTACCATACAGAAATTTTTAGTGCAAACACGGATTAACGAAGCAAACACAATAAAATATAACCTTGGCTCATGTGTCAAAACAATCGTAACAACATAGAAACTTTGTTTACAGCTAAACAGTGTAGCTAAAGTAGCAAATACACACGAATTCAGAGAAAGTCTCGGCAAAACATTCTGGTATTACAACATTCATCGAAATAAAGAAAACTATCCTCCCCCAGAATCTCCAAGGCAAGAAACCAAACTCATTGGCCTCAATTCTCTCATGCCTGTAAAGAAAGAGAGGGGACTGTAAGAAACATAGAATTCAAATATGGATGGTATCTTGCTAATAAACAAATCTAATCCACCATGTTTTATGAAGGCTTCGTGGTTAAAGATTCCAAAAATTAATACCGTGAACTGATACAAAAAAAAAAAAAAAAAAAAATTTATTTAAACTTGCCTTGCTAGCAATGTTGTTGGAAAGCCAGTCCAACCCCTCGTACAGACCCTCTCCAGAGGTTGCACATGTGCTCTGGATGTACCTGGAAAAAGAACAACAATCACATCCAGTATTCAACTTTTGCCGAAGATCTCAGCATTGATATTCAAGAACTCATTTGTTTAACTTGAACCATCCATATCCAGCTCAAGAGAGAAGACTACTAATAAGTAGATTCACACCATAAATCAATGACTCCATTATTTCAGTCTCAGCATGTTCAACCATAGGAGGAAAATTACAGGGTTCACATATGGACTAACTATTGCAGGGTGAAAATTACCAAAATAACTTACCAGTGACGTTGACGGAGAGAATGAAGACCAAGCTTATCAGTTATCTCGGCGGCATTCATTGCATTAGGAAGATCTTGTTTGTTGGCAAATACAAGCAGAACAGCATCCCTTAGTTCATCCTGAAAGCAATTAATAATATTAACTTCAAACCCTAGTTCCAAGTATACGTCAACAATATGTACCATTGTTGTATCCTAAACACGGTTCTGATCATTTACAGGGAACAAAAACAGAGTTTTATCTCAGTACAAATGATGTAGAATCCTACATAAAGAAACAAAGCAACAAAGGCAAAAAGGATCATAATTAAAAGAACTTTAATAGAATCCACAAATTCAAGTACAGAAGAAAATGGAATAACAAAACAAAATTCGGAGGGCATACAACCTCCTCATCTCCATTTACAACAGGAACATTAGAAATCGCAACATAAACAAGCGGAATGAAAATATAAGGGAGTCAGTAACTACCTCATTCAACATCCTGTGCAATTCATCCCTTGCCTCAACAACTCGATCCCTGTCATTGCTATCAACCACAAAGATAAGACCTTGTGTGTTCTGGAAGTAGTGCCTCCACAATGGACGGATCTACAAATGGAAGAAACCAGATCAGTCATTGGATATGTATAATTAGAACTTCAGAAAGATGTCCTCGTTGGACACAAGTAAACATTAAAGTAGATATACCATCCAATTCTCTATATATTCCAAAAAAAGAGATCACATAAAATGTTTTTGCATTCCGCCTCCGCGGATCTCACTCCCTTGGTAGAAGAAGAACCACAATGACTTGTTGCACAATCAACAACACATTCGAAGTGCGTATCTAAGCAAGCATGCGGAAATACAAAAGATAGAAAGAGAATTACTTTGTCTTGACCCCCGACATCCCAAACAGTGAAGCTGATGTTCTTGTATTCCACGGTCTCCACATTAAATCCTGCAAAAAAGAAAAAAACCACTCTTGTAATGAAAATGCAAATTACGACACTTTTATCCACAAGAAATCAGAGAATTGAAACAATCCTCATCTTAACCGCAACAGATCACGAGGATAAAAAAGCACCAACGATACCAAAACCAACATACAATTGAATTCTTCATAAGCGTAAAACAAATTGCACCCGAAAAGGGAAATTGATCCAAAATTCGGGTCGAAATTGGAGCGTTTCAAATGAAATATGGAAACCGATGGAACTATAACAAGAATGTTAGGTAATCAAAGCTCTTACCAATGGTGGGGATGGTGGTGACGATTTCTCCGAGCTTGAGTTTGTACAAGATGGTGGTCTTACCGGCTGCATCGAGACCCACCATCAGAATTCGCATCTCCTTCTTGGCAAAGAGCCGGCTGAAGAGCTTCGTGAACGTAAGCCCCATTTTTTCAATCGAATTCACCTGCCACACACAACCAATCACACATCATCGAGGGTTAAATCAAAATTAGCGAATTTGATTTCAATTTACAACAACATCAAGCAAAAACCAATCCAACTTTCATTCGTATGAATCATATCGCACTGCAAAATTCAATCAGATCCGTTTGATGAATTGAAAAACAACGAAAAGGGGCTTCAATTTACATGGAGATCAAAGATCGATTATGCAACTGTCGATCTACGATTCAAATCTGGTAACGGAGAATTTGAATTTAGGACGAAGAAATTCTAGAGAGAGAGAGGGGGAGAGAGAGAGACTGACCTGGAGGAACGAGGAAGGAGCAAAATGAGAGGAGGCAACGGACGAAGGGCTCGATTTTTATTGGTATTGCCTTTTCTCTCTCCTGGACCCTGGTCAGTTATTAACTACCGCGGTTAGATTCAGAACGCTGTCGTTTAACTGAAGTTCCAAATAATACAATGGCCTGTTTGGATTTGGATTGTTTATAGAAGGGATAAAAGTGCTGTCAAAGCGCTTTGACAACCGAAAGTGTTTTTGACTGGTTTTGATTGGATTTTATGTGATGCACTTAGGCCATCTCAAGCTGATCCGGCCAAATAATTATATAGCTAAAAATAACTCGGAATGATACGAAAATCATTTTCAACCGAGAGTTAGGCCAAAGAGCTCACTGGGCCAAAACCCCCAAATCAGGCTAGCAGGTTGGCCATTTCCAACTAGCCTGCCTTCTAGCCCATCCCTTTAGCGCCAAAATGTTAAGCTTGACATTTTGCCAGCCCTCCACCTCAGCCCATTTAAATGACAACGGCTACCTGGCGTCAGCATGACACCAGTTAGCAACGACTAGCTGATGTCATGCTACCGTTTGATTTTTTTTGGACGAATAAAAAAAATTCTAATTTTTTTCCTATAAATACCTAAGTCATTCTTACACCATTTCTCACATACTTTTCACTTTAGCGTTACTCATTTTAGCAACATGTGTAATTCGAAATCCTATCCAAAAATTTATTAAGATTACATAAAAATGAGAATCTAGAGAGTTACTCACGCTAGCAACACATGTCACTCAAAATTTTGTCCAAAAAATTATTGAAATTATATAAAGATAAGAAATCCAGAGGCTTATTTGTTTAGCGACAAGTGACACTCAAAATATGACTCTTTGGTCCTCTCGGTTAGAGATAATTTTTTGTCAAATGACTATATTTAGCCTATGACCCTTTAGCCCCTCCTTCGATTAGAGAGGACCTTATATGCCTGAAGTCCTTTTATCACAATTATGTGAAATTTTTTATTTAAAAATTATAGTACATGTTGGAAAAGTACTTAAAAGCGTTTTTTGAAAAGGAGAAAAAACATTTATATGCTTATTCAGGAGATAACTATTATTAGCACTCAAAAAATCTCATTTTACACTCCTCATAAGGGTATTTTCTTTCTAATTATATAAAATTTGAAGTGCTAATAACAATTATCATTTAGAAAGCGCTTTTACAACTTATAAACACGATTAATCTTTTATTTCAAACGTCATCAAAAGTGTTTTAAGTTATCAAAACAATCATGTCTAGTCATTCTAAAAACAGTCAAAATAGATTCTAAAAAGCACTTGTTATTTTGAAATCACTTTTAATTGTTATAAGTAATTATATCTCTACTAATTAATCAAACTCTCTTTGTCAACCAAAAGAGGGTGAAAAAATAACTTAGTCTTATATCACACAAAAAAATGATGGGCAATAATGTAAATTCACAGGTCCAAATTTACTGTTTTTTAATTGAAACCTCATCTACAGATGATGTTAAAATATCTACAATATTTAAAAAAAAAAAAACCAAAAACAAAATTCTGGTAGTCCCCAGTTCTCTCTCTCTCTTTCTCATTTTTTAAAAAAATGTATTCATACGCACAAAGTTTGTGTAGGCAAATGCTAGTGTTTTATTAAAAAAAGACTTATTTAATGTAAGCACTTATTTCGAATGAGCCCAAAATTTTGAACATGTTGCTAACAAGTAAGAAAGCACTTATTTCAAAAGCGATTTTGCGGCGAAGTTGTTACAGATGCAAACAGACCACAAGACACATATATCTTCTTCTCTGCGCTCTCTCCGCAGTCGTTTGACGCTTACTGTGTGGTCATGGCTTGTGTTGCTTCGCTCCACCCACTGTCTTCTTCCTCCCGCTCTCTCTTTCCACCTCTCTGCCGCCAGTCGACGATTCCCGCCATCTTCCACCGGCTCAAGAGTTTCTCCTCAACCAGCCGCCTAGTATCCACCATGAACCGGTTGAGCCCGGTCCGGGCGCAGGCCAAGCGAGGGTTCTCACTCAAAGAAGACGAAGTGGCCTCCGGTAAGCCAAAACTCCATTGAAACAGAAACAAAGAACGAAACTTTTTAATCTCTACATGCTCAGTTCGTTCGTAACTATTGATTTTGCAATGAATTGCATGATGAATGTATAGCTGCGGATGTGGAATTTGAAATCCCTCTGAAAATTGTGGAATACCCGGATCCGATTCTGAGAGCGAAGAACAAGCGAATCGATTCTTTCGACGATAATTTGAAGAATTTGGTAGATGAAATGTTTGATGTAATGTACAAGTGAGTTCCATGACTCGTTAATTGTTATGTTGAGCATATGTGTTCCTCTATGCACCGATTCTCCGCCATTTTAAATTAGTTCAAAGTAGAACATTGCTCGTTTGAGAAAATAAAGAATCGTTAATTATTTGCTAGGTGCCAAAATGCAAATTATGATTTTTGTGAAATGCTTGTTATTCACAGGAGTTGTTGGCTTGGTTTTTACACAGAACTGATGGAATAGGGCTCTCAGCGCCACAAGTAGGGATCAATGTGCAGCTCATGGTTTTTAATCCGGTTGGTGAGCGTGGTGAAGGGGAGGAAATTGTGCTTGTGAATCCAAGGGTTACCAGATATTCTCAGAAAACGCGACCCTTTAATGAGGGTTGCTTATCCTTCCCGGGGATTTATGCTGATGTTGTAGTGAGTGCTGTTCTTGTATATGCTGGTTTCTAAGTCTTCTGCTTTGACCCTGTTTTTAATTTCCAATTGGTTTTCAAATGACTACAAAAATGTGCAAGAAAATAAATCTTAGTATAACAGCAATAGTTGTTAGATGTGCAGTTCATTGCATACTACTTTCATGCCATACAACAAGCTTAAACGGCTTACTATGTGTGTGTAGTTACGCTTTTGTTGGTGCCTCTAATTTTTGTGTTTGCAGAGACCAGAAACTGTGAAAATAGATGCACGGGACATCAAGGGTGCGAGGTTTACAGTCAGCTTATCAGGTCTTCCAGCACGGGTGTTCCAGCATGAATTCGACCATTTGCAGGTTCTTTATTCAACTATTATTCAAGCTACTGTCAGTTAGGGGAAGCACACCTTACACAGTTAGGTGCTAGATTTCATTGGATTTGATCAACTTATAGTTTGCATAAACGTTTTGCCACTGCCGATCCCTGTGCTATGCAGATTAGGATTAGTTGTGGAAATTCCACTTATGATGAGGTTACGTAGAACTTAATAAAAAAATCCCAAAATAGCGATTGATTAGCTTAGTTCAAATGGGCAAAAAATGTTCAGGAAGGTGGGGAGCTATTTTCATGTTATCTTTGAGTATCACTTCGTGAAGTGTATTTGACATGAATCAAGTATGGAATGTCGCAACTTTTTGCAAGATTATTGTATCAATAGAAACCACGAATGGCGACAAGTATTTAACATTTGAAAGTAGATTCTTAGGGTAGTAAATGCGTACTAAGTGTGGCAAGAGACTTGATAAAATTCATACAAGTACATGCCAATGTGTTTTGGGTAAACCAATAAATTGCCTCAAGGCATCTACCGTATCATTCTTATTTCGGAGACTTGAGGTTAAAAATCTATGATATGGTGCTATTTGTTGGATTGTTTAAGCTTTGTCGTTATTTAAAGTTTTATAGTCTAAATCCGGAAACAGATCCTAGTTACTAAAATTTGTATGGTTGCTCCCTTCTCTCCGTCTTATATGGCTCATTCATCCGCAGGGAGTTCTCTTTTTCGATAGAATGAGTGAAGGAGTTCTTGAAACCATTTGTGCACAGCTACAGGTTAGTATGTAGGAATGCTGATAGTCTTTCTTTTGCTTTTGAATTTTGTAATTGTTAACCTTCAAATTAGTTTGTTTATACTGATACTCAATCCGTGTTAGTATTAATTTGCTGATTGTCATCTTATGGTAAAAGGCGTTAGAAAAGAAGTACGAGGATAGGACAGGACTCCCGAGCCCTGAAAGGGTTGAAACCCGCAGAAGGATGAAGGCTGCTACTGGTTTTGGAAAATCACAATTAGTGTAGGCTCCCACAAACACTTAAAGAGCTTATAGATATGAAATCCCAGTGTTGTAATTTATGATTTTATTGTTCATACAAACTATACATTTGCAGGTTCTTGCTTAATTATAATTAGGCACTCCATAATAATTCTTGATTAATATTTATCTGAGTTCAACCCAAAACAGTCCAAATCCCAATCTGATTAATTATATTCAGCAGGCCAAATAGAATCCATTTAACAAAAGCTTAACTTGTAGCAGGGAAAGCAACACGCAACACATTCATGAAAACGCCGTTCTAACTACAAACGTCGTTGTTCCATGGCGGTATAGGGTCGAGAAGAAAGGCTTCGGAGACATGCCCTGCAAACTCTGAGGTATCTACGCGACTATACTAATGTAACTAATCAATCAACCCCCTAGGCTAAGCTAAGTTTAGCACGAAGAACCACTACTTCCGGATTGAGTTATTGTGCTTGGCTTCCCCTTCTTCAAGCAGTCGATTCGAGGAACAGGTGCTTGTTTTGAGCACTCCGTACGCCTGCCAACAGAAAGGGTCGTACAGGTGCTTCCCTTCATCAACTGATTTCAACTCTATGGTATCCAGAGACACACCGGTGCACGGAGAGCTGTCACTGCATGCGAAATGCACGGCCTTCGACGTGTAGGTTCCTTGTATGTTTACGTAATTCACACCCGAAATCGCCACAGCGGAGCTCTGATTTTGGCACTTGCTCTTGTCGCAGTAGAACTGGTCAATCATGATCGGCGTTTCAACTTCTGTTAGTTGAATGTTTGAGAACATTATGTTTTGGACAGACCCCGATCCTCCCTACATTACAAATTAGAAAAACATTTACAATTTGGTTCTGTCTGAGATTTAAAATGATTTGGTCCGTATGTTTTTGTCTGTAGCAGTACGTACCTGCCAGGTCTTTATTCTGACACCCGTGAGTGTACTGTGCATTTTAACGTCTCGGACAGTGACGTTCGAAACGCAAGCTTTCGTGTTGTCCTTCCCTAGCCCTCCAATGCTGACTCCATGTCCAGGTCCACAATTTACGTTGTGTATGTATACGTTCAAGCATCCAGTTTGTATCGATACACAGTCATCTCCTGCAGTCATTATATGTTGCAGTTCATTATATTGTTGTCGATTTTGTGTCAACTTTCTTTCTTACTTGTTAAAGAAGTAACTTCTGCTATACGCAGGTTACGTAGTTAATTTTATGTTATGATTTACAACTTCTGTCAGTTTTTTCACCCAGGTTTTTGGACAAGGTTGCCCTTGCCGAAGACCGGATTCTGAAAAATTACCACAAGCGATACTGCTGGCGGAAATGACGGCATTTTGGGAGTTTTGGAGGTGGATTCCATCCGTGTTGGGGCTGTTGCCCGGGGATGAAATACTTATACCGGAAACCTGAACATTTGTGCAGGCGTCGAACTTGAGGTGCGCCTGAGGGCTGTTTTGAAGTGTTATGCCAGTGACACTAACGAGGTCGCTTCCATAGAACCTAAGAGCCTGCACATCAAAATGTATTAGCGCACCATGATGATAAAATTAATCGCAAAGATCGAGTTGAAAGGTAATGAAGAGATTGTTACCGTTGGTTTGGTGCTTGGCATTTTCCCACTGTAGCTTTCTGTGGCCTGCTGATGAAGTTGACATGAGAAAAGCACGCATGCTCGATTAGTTTCACTATAAATTAACACAAGTGAACATGATGATTTTTTTAAGCTGAATAAAAGCATTTGGCCGGCTGTGTTTTGGCTTTGACATAAGGTACGGATGGACAGTTTTTGTTTTCTTTTCACCCGACCAATATTCTAATTACTCTAATTCAAACTATAGGAAGGGTTCGGACTGGTGCAAGGGTACACTGCTTTACCTAACTTGACTATTTCGAAAGATGCATATGGAGGGACGGTTAGTTACCGAATCATCGAGACTGCTATCCGTTGTTTCGTTAGCAGGATTGTCTTTCGGCGAATCATTCCACCAAACCGAGCCTTGTCCATCAATGACGCCGGTGCCTTTGATCGAAATCCCTTTTAGTTTTGTGAATTCAATCCATTGTAAAAGACCTGAACCCCAATCGCCTGAGCTTGTTGGAGCTATGATTTTACCATCTAACTGCGTTAAAAATCGACCAATATATATCAGCAAAATTCTAACAGATGAACTGGTGACAATTTAAGATTTGAAACTCACCTGAAACACGATATTTGCTTCGCAGTTAGGGCCAGAGAAAGAGATTGGTTTGACAAGGAATACGGACCCGGATGGAACACTTATAGTTGATGCCTGCACTTTGCAAGCTGCTGCCCACGCCGCCTCGAATGCCTGCCTTGCAATGCAAGAAACCAGTCAACAATAACATCCAGTAGTATTTGTGTTACAAAATTACAGCATTAATTTCATAAAAAACGAGATGTAATTTTCAAATTCACCTTGGTGTCATCAGCTTTTCCATCACCTTTAGCACCATAGTCCAACACATTAAACACGTTCGAACCCCCGCCTCTCTTTTTTCCAAGTGTCACCGCAGTTTCCTCCGGTGTGATGTAACTCTCTCCCCTTGAAGCAGCGCGGCGATGATCACCACCATAACCCCTTAGTTTCTTCCTCCAGTGCTGCTTATTGCCTCCTTCTCGAGCATCACATAGTTCGAAAAAACTCGAAAACGAGATAATAAACGCAATGAGAACAAATAACAAGAGGGTTTTTAGGTTAAATGTCCTCATAATATTAACCTCTGACTTATTCGAGAAAGATGAGGATTTGAAGTTTAAGTTTCTGTATTTATAGTCGAGGGCTCATTGCACTGTGCAGTCACATGAGTGTACAGTTAAAAAACGACGAGGTTATACCTTCCGAATGCATTCAAAAAATTTATTTATGTGCCAGGTCAGAAACCTCATGAAGTAATCTCTCGACACGTTACGCATGATAAGCTTTTAAATTTAACACGTGGACAACAAAAATCGAATGATGTAGAACATGTGTAGTTGTTGAACTTTACACATAAGACAATATACTCTGGTACTATGAAAAAGTTAAGGTTCCACTATAAAACCAATCGACAATATATTAGAAGTAGCTCAATTACATATATGCACATATAAGATTCTTTTTTTCCGATGTTAGATTCATATTCTCAATATAATCTTATTCGGATTTTTGGATTATTATTGTCATTAACTCCCCCATCAAATTCTTTTCTAGTTAAATCAGCCGGAGAACTCACACGACATGCTTTAGCTTTACCCTAACAACAAAACATACTCAAACAGCAAGAGGAGGCCGGTCCACCAGATCGAATATACGCTGACCTAACATTTCATGTCAAACAGCTTGAACATTATATTTCTAGCAATTATTCCTTTAAAAAATTAATTTAAATTGCTCTCATCTTTTCCTAACTTTGTCGTTTGAATTAAGCATGGCAGCATAGCTGGGAGGATGCCACATCTTTGCACTCATGATCTTATATTATTTAAATATTATTTTTTTTTGTTATCGCAACGTATACTAGTTCTATTGATCAAGAACATTCATTCTTCCATCCGAAGTTATGGCTCTATGTTTCTGTAGTATTTGCTTGTATAAAAAGAAATTAAAAAAAAATTATGTTCGCCATTTTACTACCTACATACAGCAATGACGGATTTAAAGGATTGGAAGGTCGGTAAAGCAAAATTTTTTGGACGAATAAATAGTGTGCATATTAATATTTCATTGAGTCTTGTTAGACATGAGGTTAGTTGCTAAGTCTTATTGCAGGGCTATCGACCAACATATGCCAACAGCTTTTGAGCGAGCATGTTGACTCATGTCAATAGCCTTGTACACACCCCCCGCGCACACACACACACAATACAAGGGTAAACAATACTACATGGCTGATTTTCACTGTTTGGCTTGAAAGTTTTCTTCTTTTACCCAGAAAAGAAAATGAAGTTGCACATAAATGTAAGGGTAAACTGCCATTTGACCCCCTAAACTATTACTTTAGTTGAAATTGACCTCCTGGACTTTTTTTTTTTTTTTTTTGATAAATTAACCTCCTGAACTATTTGAAATGTGCCAATTAACTCCTTGTAGTTAGATTCCGTCCACTATTCTATCAAATTCAAGGGCAAACAAATTAGTGTTTTTACTATCAATTCTTATATGTCACTTATAACTACCTATAAAATTATGACATGTGGACACATAATAATGTGTAATGACAATGTGAAATTGTCTATTATGTAAACGTTTAGTTTCTTTATGTTTCTTATTTTTCTGTGATCGAATCTCTCAATAATTAGTTAAATTGAAATGAATTAATAGTCATGAACCTTGGTGGAATATATGCAGACATATACATTGAATTGGAATCGATAAGAACATGAGTGGATTATTTAAGTTAGAAACGTGTTCATAGTTTCTCATGAACTTTGTGGATATTCTAGGGTTGAGTTTTAGAAAAAGTAATTTAAACAAAATTTGCAGCACTACGACTTTGTCACATCCCCGCCCGGGGTGGACCACTTCCCGGGCCCGCTCCACCACCGTAGCACGATATTGTCCGCTTTGGGCCCCGACTACGCCCTCACGGTTTTGTTTTTGGGAACTCACACGAGAACTTCCCGATGGGTCACCCATCCTGGGAATGCTCTCGCGCGCTACTCGCTTAACTTCGGAGTTCCCATGGAACCCGAAGCCAGTGAGCTCCCAAAAGGCCTCGTGCTAGGTAGGGATGGGAATATACATATAAGGATCACTCCCCTGGGCGATGTGGGATGCTACAATCCACCCCCCTTAGGGGCCCGACGTCCTCGTCGGCACACACGCAACTAGGGTTAGGCTCTGATACCAAATTGTCACATCCCCGCCCGGGGTGGACCACTTCCCGGGCCCGCTCCACCACCGTAGCACGATATTGTCCGCTTTGGGCCCCGACTACGCCCTCACGGTTTTGTTTTTTTGGGAACTCACACGAGAACTTCCCGATGGGTCACCCATCCTGGGAATGCTCTCGCGCGCTACTCGCTTAACTTCGGAGTTCCCATGGAACCCGAAGCCAGTGAGCTCCCAAAAGGCCTCGTGCTAGGTAGGGATGGGAATATACATATAAGGATCACTCCCCTGGGAGATGTGGGATGCTACAACTTCCTCTTAATAAATAAATAATACCCAATCGTATCAAACAGCTAATCAGGATTTAGGATTTCGATTTGGAATGGCACGTATCAAAGAAATTCCAGATCACAACTGTCATGTAGCATCATCGTATAACATTATATCACCATCAATCTACCGCATGATATCTTTTCATATCAAAATTAGACTTAAGCAGAGTGGAAAAACCAGATTTAAGCCCTTGTGGACTCGAAAATTCTAACATGTCTTTGCAAGTCTTTTAAATCTTTTAAATAATAAATTCTCGTGACGAAGTTATAATTAATCTTCTTTTTAGAAAATAAAATTTCTGACATGCATGCATGGTATCACAGAACGCATTAAAATTCTCTTGGAAGCCAATAAAAGCGGCAGAGGACATGGCACAATTATTGACTTGTGAATTTTATTTTATTTTTTCTTTGGCCTAATAGTGGTTGTAATTTTCATAAATACAGAAAAACACGGATTAATTGTAATATGCTAAAGTTCTAGAAAAATCTGGGGGCGAAGGTGACGTGCGTTGCATCATCAATCATGCATGCATGTGAATGATATTATCGTTCATGACAAAACCGTTGAATCAGTTGCACCAGGTATCATGTCATTGCTTTTGGGATTGGTATATCTATATCAACACAACACTACGTGGTAAACTTCATCATCATATGTTCATGCCTTTCCCTGCGACTTGGTTCCTTTTTTTGAGCCAACCCTATTGATCACAAGTAAAACCGATTTCACTAGACGGGTTAGTATAGGTACTGGGTCTTTTGGTTCCGCTTCTTTAAATAACAGTTTTTGCTCATAAGACGTTTTCAGTAAAGGCTTATGCAGAGCGGAAAGCAGTAATGCTTATGCACTTTGAATGGTTCGATCTCCTCGTTCTTCTCCTCTTAATATTTAACATTTTAACCTACTAACGCTATCGCTTGGAAAAAAAAAAAAAAAAAAAGGCATTTTTTATTTGCTTATGAGTAGTTAGGCTACTTTCTGCATTGCCAATTAGTTTTATGGTGCAATCTTAACTTCTTTATAGTATTAGAGTAGGTTGTCTCGCGTGTGAAGCTCAAAGGTCACACGTGCTTTATGTCATCCGATTTGTGTTGGCGACATGTTATGCTTGAAAATTAATCACACGTGAGAGAAGGTGTTGAGCGTTCAATCCCACATCAGGGAAGAGACCTTGCATGTGCATGTAAATAGGTGGACTACTCACCATATTGCTAATTGATTTTATGATAGAACCTCGATTTTCTTTAATTAGAAACATATCAAAAAATTTAGTAAACGTGCAAACACTTCTTGGAAAACACTTAAAGTGTTTCATGAAAGAAATACACTGAAAGTGTTTCTTTTAAGAAGGACTTCAAGTCATTTTATACCGCATAATTAAGAACTTTTAACTTTCTAAGTCAAACATTTTCAAATTGATTTTATGATGAAATCTTGATTCTTCAATTAAAACATATATAAAATTTTAGTAAACATGCAAGTGCTTCTTTAAAAAATACTTAAAATATTTCATGAAAGAAACATAATAAAAATGCTTCTTTTAATAAGGACTTCAAGTCATTTTATATCGCATAATTAAGAATTTTTAATAAGGACTTCAGATAATAGGTCACGTGTTATAACATGAGCGTATAGTAAAATGATGCTTGTGACGGTGTTACGAAATCACCGAAATACGACTCATAGCATATCTAAGATTCATAAACTGTCTTGGTTCCCATACCTGAAATTACGATTTTGCTCCTTAATTCCGTGATGAAAGTGTACATTGTGGCTGCTTAAGGTCACTTCATCAGCAATATAAAATTAGTAAATATTAAACTTTGCTGGTAGAAGACGCAATGTTTGAATTGAAAACAGCCTACTCTAGCTAAATTGCTTGCTCGTGCACGAATGGCATCAAGGTTACACTGATCACGCCGTCTCATAAGCTTAATTATGTTTTTAATAATTTGTTTATGATAAGCAGAGTAAGACTATAGGGTGTTGATTAGGCCTAACAAAGGAATCATGTTTATCGTGTTCGTATCGTTTTCTTGTCATATTCATTATCTTAATGATCAATCATGTCGTATCAATTTTGTTAATGGAATGCTTAATAGAACCCGATAACGAGTCATATTCTTATCAAATTAATTGGTCATGCAATAAATTATCAGGCTCAATGATGGTTACAAGGAGTTGTAATTTACAAGATACAAAATCTGTGATATATTATATACAATTAGTTGCTTTTGAATTACAAATTCAATGTTTTCTTTCTCTTGCTTCTATAAACTCGAGTTTGAGCAGTGAATTAAATGAATATTTATAATAATTTTTTATGGAAAAATAATGACCCCCTTCAAGAGGGGCAATGTCATTTTCGATGACAGTTTATTTATCAGAATTTTGATAAAATGTGGGTCGTGCGCATGGGTTGTGCAGAATCAGAAAGAGCAACTTAGACAAAATAGATGACAAATTTATACCGAATATTAACAACATACATATTAATAATATTGACGCAATATCAACAACATATCAAAAAAATATCCGTTGAATATGGACATTGTTAACACGATTGAATATCATCATTTACGGTGTTCGAATCCCTTTCGAGTCCTATGCAAACCATGCACATGACCAAAAAAAAAAAAGGAGTTTTAATGAAAAGTTCACGGTACTGTTTATTTTAACGAAAAATCACATTTTTACACTAAAAAGTCAATCATAGTACTATTCACTTTACCCTTTGTTTTTTTCTTATTATTGAAAATTTTTAAGCTCATTTCATTAGTTTTCCTTTAAAAAAAAAAAAATCAAACAATCAAACAATGATATTCGACCAAAAATATCAAACAGTGATAAAAGAAACAGGATAGCATTTGGGCTTTATATATTAGTATTGGGCTAGTTGGACGGGGAATTAGTGGGCTTGCAGTAGCATGTTGCTGAGCCCGTATTCAAACAACGACAACGGGTCTCTAGTGCACATTCCAATAAGCACACGTTATTTACACATCAGTAGTATAGCCGTTAGATCAATCTCAATGGTTGTTGCTAAATCTTAAACTTATGCAACCAGAACTGCACCCAAAAATTTCTTGAGCCTAATGTCGATAACTTTTTACACGATCTATTAATTAATATGTATGATATGAAAATAATAGATTTCGAGTCAATTTATTAAAAATTCATTAACGAGTCAGTTTATTATTGGATCACCCATTAAGAACCTAATAAGATATCGTTTTCCAAGTTTATACATTAGGCATAACAATTTCTTGCATGACCTGTTAACCTGACACGAAACAATACGATATATTGACGAGTCGTGTCGTTATCGAGTCATCTATTAAGAATTCGTTAAGATAACGAGTTTAACACGACACGATCCATGAAGATAATGAGTATGACATGAAAATAATATGAATACAACAAACACAACCCTTTTGTCAGGCCTAGATGCATCCAACCCTCAATATTACCAAAAAAAAAAAGATTAACTTAACCACGAGCTGGTGGCTCAGTGGTAAATGGCAGATTACGAGGCTTCATTTAAATTAAAAACTGGAGGTCTTGGGTTCGAAACCCACTGATGGTACCAAACTTGGGGCCAGGATGAGGCTAAAATACCGCTGCGAGTCTTCCCGGGTTCCGAAAATGGTGGATAACCGTGGTTTGCCACTAGTTGTCCTTAAAAATATAAAAAAAATAAAAGATTAACATATCAATGTTCATGTGTTCGTACATGGACCAAAGAAACAATATGGATGAAAATCCTCTCCGATCTGTGCCATTTAAATTTGGATCCTCTCCTAAGTAAGGGAGGCGGATCCTCCTAACCCAAACACACGGGTTATCTAAAAGTTATAATCCGGATCTATTCCTCTTAATCCACCAAATTAGGAAATCTGTGCCATTGAAATTTGGATCCTCTCCTAAGCAAGGGATCAAATCAGAGAATCTGTGCCATTGAAATTTGGATCCTCTCCTAACCAAGGGAGACAGATCCTCCTGACCCAAACACACGGGTTGTTGGATTTTGATCCAACGGCTACAAATAAGGAATCCATCTAAAAATTATAATAATTATAGCAGTTGGATCAAAATCTAACCGTCCGTGTATTTGGGTTAGAAGGCTCTATCTCCTTTGCTCATGACCTCTCAAAATCCTTCCCCAAGACTACACTAGTGTACACGCGCACACACCAAGTCAGCAAATCGTCCAGCTCACCGCCACGTGTTAAATTCAGTTCTTAAAGCAATGGACATCAACTAACTCATAACTAGATTTGATAAAACCGGTTGGGTCCCGCCACTGTTTGTTCAGAAATCAGAAAAGCACAGAGGATCCAAAGGGGTCTCCCTCAGTCAACACTCGCAAAGAAAACGTCTCTGAAACTGCGAACACCAATCTCTCTCTCTCTCTCTCTAAAATCTCTAGGGTTTCTCTCTCGCCCAGCTCCTCAGTCTTCGAGTTGTTCGGATCGGCGAGCTTGCGAATGCAGAATGCGAGCGACTTGCAGCTCGAAAGGTTTGGTTTCAGGCTTCAGCTTTAATTTTCTCGGGAACCAAACAGGTTCTGATTTCTGTTTTGTTCTTCGAGATTTCAGATTATAAAGTTCAGTAGCTCCCGTAGACGTTGAACGCGTGAGCCTTTTGGTTTACAGAGTAGAAGATACATATGGCTTCAGCTGGTACGGCACCTGCTGCTTCGGCGGTTAAAAATCGGGGCGGCAGCGCGATGTTTGCTGATAAGTTGCCGGAGGAGATTAATGACATGAAGATCAAAGATGAAAAGGTTGGTTATTTATTGTTGAATTATTGTTTTTCTGTATTTTTCTATATATATATATGTATGTATATTTGTTTGTGATTTTATTTTGGTGTTGAAAGTTTGTTTCTTTTTTGTTAGGAAATAGAAGCAGCTGTGGTGAATGGGAATGGAACTGAAACGGGGCACATTATTGTGACTACGATCGGTGGTCGAAATGGTCAGCCGAAGCAGGTGCATTGTGCTGAGTTTTGTAATCGTAGTTGAATTGCTTCTGGTTAAGATGTAGAACTAAGGAATGGTTAAATTGCATTACTTTATGACATGAATTCAAGGATGTTCTTTGCTTTTATCGCGGGGAGTAATTTTAGGACTATTTTGGATATTTTAGCTGTTGAACTCGTAGCATATGTTGTTTTTGAGGATGTGAAGAGTTGTCTCAGGACGGAAAGTTAAGGAACCTTTCATAGGCTTATAAGGAGTTGGGCTCCTCCACCCGTTGCCATTTGGTTTCGGGGTGGAACCTCAACTTCCTCAGAGGTATTAAAGCAGGTCACCCAATATGTGTTTTCCATGTGTTTGGCTTACAGTGTAGCCACACGTGAGGGCCATGTGTGGAGGTGAAGAGTTGTCGCACATGGGAATGCTGAGGGAACCTTGCATAGGCTTATAAGGAGATGCCACTCCCACGTTTCCAATTGGTTTTGGGCTGGAACCTCAACTTCTGTTACTGATGTGATATATACAGAAACCATGTGCTCATAAACTGCCAGTTAGACATTCATTTTGGCTCGCCATGGTCAGCGCAGAATATCTAAGTTTCAACAAACAGATGAATTTAAGTTAAAACCAAAAGGCATAGAAGGTCTCACAACTCAGTATTTGTTTAACCTCAAACAGGAGTGTTTCAATTTTTGTGTCCTTACAAGTTAAAATACTACATCATGCTAGAAACTTGATATATTTAATAGTGTCGGTTATATATTTAAGTTAAAGTATCTCAAACTCATATCTGACATGTCGAAGCTCGTAGTATTAAATCCTCTCTGATTCATTGTGCAGACCATAAGTTACATGGCAGAGCGTGTTGTTGGACAAGGCTCATTTGGTATTGTATTTCAGGTAATGTCTGCATTACAGTTTCTAAGCTAGTTATTATGAAGAGAAAGAAACTTTTATAATAGGAAGGCTAACCCGTCTTGAATTTCACATATCACTTTGTAGGCTAAATGCCTAGAAACTGGAGAAACTGTTGCAATCAAGAAGGTTTTGCAAGACAAGAGATACAAGAACAGAGAATTGCAAACAATGCGTCTTCTTGACCATCCTAATGTTGTGTCACTCAAACATTGTTTCTTTTCTACAACGGATAAGGATGAGCTCTATCTAAATCTCGTGCTTGAGTATGTACCCGAGACTGTTTATCGTGTGTCAAAACACTATAGCAAGGCCAATCAGAGGATGCCTATGCTATATGTGAAACTGTATACTTACCAGGTAGTTGCTCTTCTTTGGACTATCTGTAGTAATGGCTGTAGTTTTATTGTAATCCACCTTTATCTTAGTCTTCTTCTAATTATTCAATTTGTAGTCCTCACTTGAAGAAAACTTCATTTGAAAGGTCAGAAACCAAATAGAAAAATATTTTTAGTGCAAAAGTTATTCTAGGAGTAAACATGTATGACAAAGCTGTTGGGGTTTTCTGGAAATATCAATAAGTCTTAGAGTCAACGATTAAAAGTTCTTTTGGTAATTTTACTTTGCTCGATTTTCATTTTTGTCAGATTTGTCGAGCTCTGGCATATATTCATGGAGGCATTGGAGTATGCCACAGAGACATTAAGCCGCAGAATCTCTTGGTTCGTACCTGAATCTCTATTCTTTTTTTACCTTTTTTTATATTACTTCTTTTATGCTTAATTGTATTTCCGCTACAATTTGTTGTTTCAGGTTAATCCCCATACTCATCAAGTTAAGCTCTGTGATTTTGGAAGTGCAAAAGTCCTGGTATTCTCTTCTTCTAGAGTCTTATATCTTAGCATAGACATTTGTTAGTTTCAGAGCAATATACAACGCATATATGATTTCATAAATCCCCATCCCCAATACAAATTTGAATGCATTACTGTACTTGTTTTCTTTTTCATGCTTATGCAGATGACGCTAAGTGTCGTTGACCCATTTCTATCATTATCCATGACAGGTCAAAGGCGAACCAAACATATCATATATTTGCTCTCGTTATTATCGAGCACCTGAACTCATATTTGGAGCAACTGAATACAGTACTGCCATTGACATATGGTCTGTCGGTTGTGTTCTCGCTGAACTGCTTCTTGGACAGGTAGTCTATACTGTATAAAAAGTTCTACCTATTCTCTTAGTTTTTAGCCAAAGATGAATTCACATTTGGTTGTTTTTTGCCCTCTTTGTTAATGGCGATCCTCGATGCTGTAGCCTCTCTTCCCAGGTGAAAGTGGAGTTGATCAGCTTGTTGAGATTATTAAGGTAAAGTTCTTGTGACCTTGTGCACGGTGGAAAGTATGTATCTATCATGTGATCAACTCAAAATCTTGATCAATTACCTTATGCAATATGAACTGAATTAGCATTGCTTCTATGTAATTAGGTACTGGGCACACCAACTCGTGAGGAAATCAAATGTATGAACCCGAATTATACAGAATTCAAATTCCCACAAATCAAGGCTCACCCTTGGCACAAAGTGAGTTTCTAGTTCCTAGTTGAGAGAATTTTGCATTTCTTCTGTGATACTTTTGCATGCTATTTTCGTTCTTATTATCTTCTTTGCGTGCAGATATTCCACAAGCGCATGCCTCCAGAAGCAGTAGATCTTGTGTCAAGACTGCTTCAATATTCTCCAAGCCTAAGATTCACTGCTGTAAGTAGCCATTTTCTTTCAAAGTCGTCATGCGCAAACTGTAAAAGTATGAGGAGCGAGGATTTAGTTCTTCACATATCTTCTCTTTCCCTTCACCCCATCCTATCTGAACGGATACTGAATGTTCAACTTTTTGTTCCCTTGAACTTCAATTCTTGTGGGTCTATAATATAGTAACTTCAGAGAATCATAATCAAGAAAGTTACGGTGGACCTCCATTTCTATTAATAAGAAATGCAAATCACGTTGTCTCCGTGTAATGAACTATTTTATGTCTGTTTTAAATAACAAAGTATCAACTGTAATTGTTTATTTTGGCAGCTCGAGGTCCTTGTCCACCCATTTTTTGACCAACTCCGTGATCCTAGTACTCGTCTTCCTAATGGACGCCCTTTGCCTCCGCTCTTCAACTTCAAGCCCCAAGGTTTGTTCTTCGTTTCTGTGATTGCATATGCCTGTCCATGTACATAACATGCTGCTGATATTGCGTGCTTCAAATGATGATCGATTATGCAGAGCTGAAAGGAGCAACTCTCGAGCTTCTGTCCAAACTGGTACCCGAGCATGCCCGAAAGCAATGTGCCTTTCTAGGTACCTAGATAACCCTCGCCAAGACAAATCCGTGTGTATCAACCGTACCATTGTAATGCACCTCCTTCGCTGTATTTATGGTTTTTCGATCCGGCACATTACACTACTAAGACTCTGAAGAGTGAATGGATCATGTATGTACTAAGTTTATCGACTTAATTAATAGAATCTCTCTCTCTCTCTCTCTCTCTCTCTCTCTCCAAATTTGATAACTCAGGTGGGTTGATTTGATCGCTGCTAGAGCCGACGGTGGTGATGGACTGTTGCCACCGTCGGCCAATATTTGCTAGCCATGATGGCTGATTTTTGGAAGAAAAGACCACAAAAATACCAACGAAAACATGTTCGAAAGGAAAATAAATAATGAACTGAGCAATTTTACAGTCCAAATTAGGAACAATTATTTGCACTCTGTGAATGTAAACATCGCAAAAATATTATGATTCTTGTTAAAGCTACATTGCTTCTGTTTACTAAAATTTGGTAATCTTGCAAATTAACTTCTTATAGTTTCTTGATTAATTACATAAAAGTTAAAAGTAAGAAGTGAAATGTTAAATCTCTTGACATGGAAAGATTATTCGGTGTCTGTGTGTTTACAAGTTCAAGTCTTTTTTCTTGTCACATGATTAGGTTAGTTATGGATTCTCCCGTCACGTGATTAGATGAGTTAAAGATAAAAAAGTGGTTGAGATAAGAATTGTATATATTTGTTTCTCTCGTCACGTGATGAATTATAGGTAAAAAAGTGGTTGAGATAAGAACTGTTCTGATAGAATATTTATTTCTCTCAGTTTTTGCTTATGTCACCATCCACTAGGGAGCAACAAGAATCTTTAATTTCATACTCTCGAGAGTATGAAATTAACTTACTTTCTTATTTCACCACATTTTACCACCTCACCTAACAAAAGCAAAAGCAGGAATTCCATAAAATGGACCCCACTTTTGCTTTTCCCACTAACATATATTAATCGATTACATAAAAGAGAGACGCTATTTACACTCCAAAACATAACGTCAGAAACTTTAAAAAACAATTTTGAGAGGACCGGAAGCTAATTTTTGTGGACTAATTTATAAATTTTCGTAAAAAGAAAATATTAAAAAATAAACCGCGGAGTATTTGAAAGAATATCACCCAACGGCGTGTCGTTGTGCGTGGTTCCAAGCGCGCACCGGGCGCCCCATCTTCCTTCCTCATCGGCGCTCTGGTTCGCGTTACGAAATATGTCCACGGACTGTCTACGCAATTCTGTGATTTGACCTGCAACGGCTCTCTCTAGACTCATAGACTTTCTCTCTCTAGATTTCCCTCCACCGAGCTTTTATCGTTTCGCGGCGAGTTTCTTCTGCGGGTTCTTATATCAGCGGCGGAGCTTTCTTCGCATTCTCCGTGCAAGGCCGCAAGGGGAGGCTTTGACGGAGGCGAAGTGCATTGCCGGTATTTGCGAGGAGAGCTTATCAGAGAGGCCCCTCCCGCGGAGGTAAGCTTTCTTTGACCAAAGCTGTTTCCTTTTTTTTATTTTTAATCGCAATTTTGAGTTGTGGGTATTTACTGGTGGTGTTGTTTTTGTCGTTGGTTAGGGTTTTTATTTTGTGTTTATGTGAAAGATTGGGAATTTTCTCTATGCCACTGATGAAATACACTGTTTGGTTGCCAAGAAAAGTAGGACATGAAGGGATGGAACAGTGGTTTTAGAATTTTTGTTTTTCTTTCATTATTTGAAGGGAGGAGAAATTGTGAAATATTTTCTTCTGCATTTGCCTCAATTTGTGTAAATAAACAAAATGGGGTTTTACGGCTTACATTTCTAGAGAGTAAAGATTGTTTTCTATTGTGTTTGGTATTGCAGAAAGATGGGTGCTTTAGGGTTTTGTGGATGTTATGGTGTCTTTCAAATCCTGAAATTAGGAAGTATGTTTTTTTTTTTTTTTTGTGGGGGGGGGGGGGGGGGGGGAGTGGAAGGGGGGATGTGGTTGGGTCTATTCAAACAGGTTTGGCCGTGCTTAAAGAATCTAATCAAAATCTGAGTGTATTTAGCATGCTGAGGGATATTTTGAACTTGTACCGTAGTGGATGCTGTACTCTTCGAAATGTATGCTGCGCCGTTTCGGGATTCTTGAATTTATTTTGAAAAGGGCACTGTTCATCGTATCGTGTTCTTGCTGTATCGTGTCAAGTACTAGTCAACTCCAATTCTAACTCTACACGATACATCGTAGTCATGAATATGCAATCTCAATTGTCTACTATAAAGCCTCTTGCAGAAGTTGGGTAATTAATATATTTATTGGCTTTTATAGTCAAAATTTGCAGTTGTTTGGCACTTATTCTTTCTGTGTATTACTTGGACAGCTTGGAAATCGCTGCGTGGGCCAAACACAGCTTACAGAGAAATGGTATTTGTTTTCTGACTAAGTTTTTATTCATTCATTTCATTTAGTCCTTTGCTAATGTTTAGTCACTCTTCATTTTTAATTTACTCAATTTGTTGGGCTTGACTGACCCTTTTTTTTATTCCAAACATGTGGGAATTCAGCAGCTGATTTTTTGGTTTTATGATTTGGACTGTTTGGCTAGTTTAGAGTTGTATTGTTGGTGAACTATGGTTGTAGTGTTTGAGTGACCCCTTGTTGACTAAAACGGTCCTTTCTTCTATATATAAAAAGAGGCCTTTTACTTCTTTTAATTGTTTACGTGTATAATATAAACTTGTGCAGGATGGTGAATACAGTAATGATTTTGACTGGAATACTGATGATGAGCTGGAAATTGAGAACTTTACGTTGTCTACTTCAAGTTTGACAGTTGGTGGAGAAGCTATTGTGATATCTGGGGAGGTAACCTTTGTGCATTAGTTCTAAAATGTCTTCTTTGATTTGAATATGTTTTTGGAGATGGCTAAAACAATCTATACACTCATAGTGTCATCTGGGGCATAGATGAAATACTCCTGTTGTGTATGTAATTAACTGCACATGATGCCTCTTAGTGATATTTAGGCATTTCTCCATTGAAAATTTCTGAATTTACTTCTTTATACTTTTATCACTTTCGATGAGTTTGCAAACATTTAAGGATAACTGATGATTATTTAAATGGGATATTAATATTGTTACATAATTAACACACAATTCCTCTTTCTTCTTGAAGGGGAGCTCATCTGCCGGTCCCTCCAATACCAAAGTTCTTAATCACTTTGTGGGGATGGGATTTTCTGAAAAGATGGTTGTCAAAGCAATTCAGGAACATGGTTAGATCATCGTATCATTTCATTTCAGTAAAATTTTTGATATGAATGCTAACACCACTCTGATGGAATATCCAGGAGAAGAAAACACAGATTCAATTCTGGAAACCCTCCTCACATATTCAGTGAGTCAAGATTTCTGCTTTAGATACTTATTTTTACGATATTGATTATTTGGGTTTGTGAGTTTGGTATAACAGCACTTAATACTAGTCCATGCACTAAAGGATTTACATTTATTGTTTGCCGAATATGGCTGTAAGACTGGATTCCTTACTTATTGTATTATCTTGACTAGTATTAAGTGAGTTCTGTTAAATCAAAATTACATGCGATCCTATAAGAAATTATCAAGATGAATGGGTCACATATCTTACGAACACAAGTTTTCCTGCCCTGAGAGTTTTCTTGATAATAATTTTTGCAGGCTCTTGAGAGTTCCCCTGAAGAACAGCAGGAAGTAGAAACGCCGCAGGAAGTAGAAACACTGCAGGAAGTAGAAACACCACAGGAAGTAGAACCACATGAAGTTGATTCTGATGGCTTCTCTCTCGATGATTATGATGAGAGCTTTCTGGATGATTTTTCAGACTTGGATGGCTTTTCTGATACCGAGGTAGGTCATTGGCCTTACTAACAAGTTGTATGTTATATTGGTTTTTCCCTTTTTTGCCAAGCTTTTCATTTTCTGTTTCCCCAATCCTTCAAGCAACAAAAACATTACATCGCTTTCCAATATCATTAAATCGTGTCTCGTACTATTTATGTGCTAATATGCCAATACACACAGGATAGTGGGTTCGTGACAAAGAGTCAAAGACATGTCACACATGTGTGTATCTCATAGAAATTTCATTTACCTATTTTGCAGGAAATTATAAATCCTACATCGGAGAAAGGGAAGATACAGACCTTGGTCAATATGGGTTACACAAGGGAGGAGGCCTTAATAGCAATTGAAAGATGTGGTATACGTTTAGTTTTATATATATGCATAATGTTGATTTGTGTTGCTTTTATCATTTTCCTGTCCACATCTCCAGTTAGTTATGCTTTGGTTCTTTTTGGATGATTATGTTGAAATCCTGGAAAATGCTACTTATTTACTTCTGGTATAACTTTAGACTCCAGAAAAATAGATAAAAGTACATTCTTTTAGTGTCTATCATCTCACCTTCAATATTTGAAAAATGTATTGCTTCCCTTGTGGGTAGCCGGGATCATAGTTGTGTGCCCACAAATGCATGTCCACATCTCCAGTTAGCTACTTTTGCTTTGATTTGGATGATTAAGTTGATATCCTGTAAAATGTTGTTTATTTACTTTTGGTATAATTTTATCACGAACCAAATGCATAGTCAGAAGAATTTCTTGGATTACGTTGACTAGAATGTCTTTTATATATGATCTGGGGGCCAAAGAAACATCCTCCTAGCTATATGCCCTGCTAGGATTCTGGGCAGTAAACCACTTTCTGCTAGTTAAGCCTGTGCCACACTTTCTCAAGTTTCCTTCTCAGTTCTAGTAGAATTTTGATTGCCTGTTTCTCCTTCCTTAGCTCTATTTCTCCCTTCAACATTGCAGGTACAGACTCCACTGTTGCTGAGTTGACTGATTTTATATGTGCTGCTCAAATGGCACGGACAGAAGATGTCTTTTTTGCGGTTGAAGAGAAGGTATTTGCTGATATAGAATATGATAACCGTTTTCTGTTTTTTCTTACATAATCACTTTTATAGATCGTGATTGTTGTTTCATTTTTACAGCCTAGATCACATCTAGACAAGAAGAGGAAACTTCTTGAGTTTGAGATGCTAAAGAAGAAAAAGAAGCAGATGCGGCTTGGTGGAAACCAAGGGGATGATGATGAGACAGTTCATCTCCCAAATCCAATGGTTGGGTTTGGCACCCCAAGTGATCCATATGTGCTGACACATAGGACTCTTCCAGAGGCAGCTGTAGGACCTCCATACTTCTACTATGAGAATGTCGCACTAGCTCCTAAAGGGGTTTGGACCACCATCTCCCGCTTCCTGTATGATGTGCAGCCGGAGTTTGTGGACTCAAAGTACTTTTGTGCTGCTGCAAGGAAGAGAGGTTATGTTCACAATCTCCCAATCCAGAACAGGTTTCCTCTCATGCCACAGCCCCCAGACGCCATATCCAAGGCATTTCCCTTGACAAGGAAATGGTGGCCTTCTTGGGACAAGCGAGAAAAGCTAAACTGCTTGCAAACGTGTATTGCGAGTGCCAAGTTGACTGAGAGGATCAGGAAGGCTCTTGAGCAATATGATGGGGAACCACCAGAGCGAGTCCAGAAGTATGTCCTTGATGAATGCCGCAAGTGGAATCTGGTGTGGGTAGGGAGAAACAAGGTCGCCCCACTCGAGCCTGATGAGGTGGAGATGCTTTTGGGATTCCCAAAGAACCATACAAGGGGAATAAGCCGGACTGACAGATACAAGTCACTTGGGAACTCCTTCCAGGTAATGAATTACTTCTACGTTTCATTAGCATTTTAATCTCTCTCAAAAGTGTCATAAGTTTCATTAGCATTTTACTTATGATTTGAACTTGTTGCAGGTTGACACTGTGGCATATCATCTGTCTGTGCTCAAGGATATGTTTCCCAGTGGCATCAACGTCCTCTCCCTCTTTTCTGGCATTGGTGGAGCTGAAGTGGCCCTTCACCGGCTTGGTGTCCCTCTGAAGAACGTTGTCTCCGTAGAGATCTCAGAAGTGAACAGAAACGTTGTGAGCAGTTGGTGGGAGCAAACCAACCAGAAGGGGAGGTTGCAGCACCTTGTTGACGTGCAGCAGCTGAATGGTGATTGCCTTGAGCAGTACATGAGCGAGTTCGGTGGATTTGATCTGGTGGTTGGTGGGAGTCCATGCAACAATCTAGCAGGCAGCAACCGGCACCATCGTGATGGACTGGAGGGTAAGGAGTCTTCCCTTTTTTACGACTACTTCCGGATATTGGACTTAGTTAAGAGCATGATGGGAAGAAACAATTGATTCGATTCAATTTCCTGGTTACTTGTGGTAATAAACAACAACCAAGTCTTATCCCACTAAGTGCGGTCGGCTGGTTACTTGTGGTAATCCGATTCTATTTAATCCCCCTGTGCAAAAGTTTTGACTTTTGTTCACGAGGAACAAACAATTGTACTAATTGGAGTTTCGAACCTGCTTATAAATGAGGTTTTAGTTAGTGCTCATTCTTGTCTCTCGTTTCTTTTCCGAACAAGTTGAAGAACCTAATGGATCGAACTCCATGTTAACTGATGGTCTTAATTCATTTCTTTTTCTTTGTTTCGGGTCAAATTTGCATTTGTTCAGTTGATTAGAACAAATAAGAATTCGAGTTCCAAACCAGTAATTTCCTTTTAATTACATATTGGTCCTGGCCTTTATTATACAAGGGGTGTGTTTGGACGAATTTCTTTGGCAACAAAAAAAAAAAAATTGCTTTTCACTGCTATTAGCATAACAAGAGCGTCTCCAAATGAGATGTCAAAATGTACATATCAGCTATAACAGTAAAAAAAGATCATACTAATATTTTCCAACCAAAGTGCCAAATCCTATGTGACGATGACATGAATTGGTAGCAAAAGAGTTTGCTGTCAAATTTGACAGCAGCTTCAAATGTATATTTATTAATTATTAAATGTATTTTGTTAATTTTAAATTAGTTTAATCATTTATTATAATTAATGTTTAGTTGATCGATGCATTCTTATCTTTTTTTCTTCTTTTCAATCAAGGAAGATGAACAGTTTACTGATTAAACTTGAAATGTCATTTATTAAATTTTAATTAGTTTAATAATTTATTTTATAAATTAATAAAATAATAATTTAATTTGACATATCTGTTGGAAAAGAAAACTTTAAAAAGATATCAAAATGCTACGTAACCCGAATTCTAGATGACCTAACCCAACACGAACAAAAATATACTAATTATTGCCATCAGACCGACCTAAGTTCAAATTGTAAAAGTTCAAACTAGACTTGAATTGACTTCCCAAACCGTCCGAGTTGTACTCCTAAAGAAATTTCCAGGTACCAACCAACCTATATTTTGTTGAGAGAATATAAAAAAAAAAAAAAACAAAATGGTCAAATTAAAACGAACTCACCCACCTAATTCCGCCAAAATTAAAAATAAATAATAAAAAAATAAACGCACCAAAACCCAAGTATACGGCCGACATTTCTATAAATAACCTATCGGATCCTTCCCTTGTCTCTCTCTCTTCTTCTCTACGCTTCTCCCCCTTCGGAAGCGTAGTGTCTCACTTTCTCGCAGCCAGGGGGTTCCACCATCAGATCCCATCGGAGCTTTTCTCGTTCCTTCTGCTCTCCAAGACGTCGCCGTCAGGTCCGATTCTCTCCGTCGTTAACCCTCTACCTCCCGTCTCTGTAGATCTCTTAGATCTGAACTTTGCATTTTCGTACTGTTAGGTCAATTCAAATTCGTGATTCGATTGAGTTGGTTCTAGGGTCTTTTGCATGTCCGAAAAGGATAGGGAGAGAAAGTTGTGACCTTTAATTGCATGCTGTGCTTGATTTTGTAGAATGATTGATAATTGCTTGCTTTTGTTGGTTTTTGCTTTTGTATTCCTTCGTTTTTGTTATTTTCTCGGGAGCCAAACGGGAGATAAGCTTATTTGACACTTGGTCGGTGTAAAACCCATACATGTAATCTCATTTATTTATTTATTTTTTCTGTCAGACTTTTGGGCTTTAATTTTGTATCATGCAGCTTACGTTTTTCATGTTTTTCGAAATACTTTTCCCATAAGCATGTGATTTGCTTGACATATTCATTGATTGGTTTTATATTGATCTCAATTTGTTACTTATAGATGCATTTTCTCCTTTTTTTAAAAAATGTTATAGGGTAGTGCACTCTTCCCATGGCTGCCGCTGCAACTGCCGCTGGTCCTCGATATGCACCGGAGGACCCAACTCTTCCCAAACCATGGAGAGGACTAGTTGATGGTAAAACTGGGTATCTTTACTTCTGGAACCCCGAGACCAATGTCACCCAATATGATAGGCCGACGGGTTCAGTTGCTCCATCAAAGCCTTCTTCAGCACAGTCTATAAGCTCTTCAGTTCACGTTCATCAATCTTCACAAGGACAACGTCGCCCTGATGAGGGAGATGATAGGTATGGCAGAGGCAGCAATGGTGTGTCCAAGTTTGACACAGGATCAAGAAATCAGCAGGTAAGTAAGCTTGCTACTTGGGTGACTTCTTACACAGTTGCAGCTCCCTGCAACCTGCTTGGTAAACATTTTCTTATGGGAACTGATATGGTTTTCTTGGTTGTGCATTAGACTGCAAGAAGTGCAACAGTGTCTTCTCATAATACCCCGAGTGGGACACTAAGTGCACATGGAGGATCTTCTGTGAAAGGAAATGGATCAGACATTGGAAGCGGTTTGTCTGCTGAGGCTTATAGTCGCCGACATGAAATATCTGTTGTTGTGAGTATTAACAAGTTTCTTATACAAGCTTGATATCATAGTGTTCATATTGTTTTTTTTTTCTTGTTTGTATATTTTACTTGGTCATTCTGTTTAGTTTCTTTTACCGTCTATCTTTTCTCCGTAGGGTCTGGTTTAAATCTTTATATCTTCTGCCCGCACACTTTTGCATTGGGATTGGTTAGGTTAGCCTGATCATTTTGTTGCATTAAGAATTTCTCTTGGGGTTGTGCATAATTTGTATGTGTGTATTGTTGTAGTTGTGGTTTTATAGAGTCATGGTTTGAATCTTCAATTAAAGATTTATGGTGCAAAATGCACTGGTCTTGCACAGTGAGAGATGCTTCTCATACGTGAATGTGATCAGCTGATTGTTTTAGGAGTCTTCAATGGAGTTACGTCATCACTCTTCTCTCTCTCTCTCTCTCTCTCTCTAGTTTATCATTGTTATCGTTAGAGAGTATTATTATTACTTTTATTATTAAATTTTGTGGCTAGTAAGCTACTAAGGTGAATCCGTGATTTTGTTAGCTAGTTGCTGTTATGCCTTTTTAAATGTTTCTTTTGTTTGTCTTGAGTGATGTTCTAGTCCCTGGCTGTCTTGTACCAACTTTTGATATGCTCACAGCGTCATTTGATTTACCTGTTTTGCTAGGGTGATAATGTGCCTCCACCGTTTACTTCATTTGAATCTACTGGCTTCCCATCTGAGATTCTTAGAGAGGTATTGAATTATGCTTATGTTTTTGTGTTTCTTTTGTGTAATACTGGTGGCCATTAGTGTAAGTAACCCGAGTGTTTTGTGCAAAGTTTTGTGATTGCTAGAGGTCCAATGTTGAGTTTCAGACTCATGTTATTTATTTTGCCATCTGTACTTTTTGTCGCAGGTGCGATATTTGCTCCTGGGAGGAGCTAATGTCGTACGCTGTGCTGCCCTCTTTGTGGGGGCTTGCATTTAATTTGGAGCGCCCTTTTGCGTGGACAAATTTTTGGGAAGGGCTTTCCAAATCACCCAAGTTTGTGGCTGGGACTGCTGTTGGTGATTCAGTCTGCCACTCGGTCCGAATGAAAGAAGAGGCCTCCTCATGCTCCAGCTTGCTGTTGCAAGCTTTGGTCGCCTGCAATGGGGGTGTTGCTTCTTCTGCCATTCCACTGTTCCATAAGGCCAAAAAGAAAAAAAAATCAAAATCTTGAAGCCAGTACCTCTGCTTATGGGGGTTCCTGGAATTTTTTCTTTTTCCAGGTACAAAAAGAAGGTTTCTCTGCCCCAACTCCAATTCAAGCACAGTCTTGGCCGGTTGCTCTTCAGAGTAGAGATATAGTAGCCATTGCTAAAACTGGTTCCGGGAAGACCTTGGGGTATTTACTTCCAGGATTTATCCATCTCAAGCGCGCCCGCAATAACCCTCAGATGGGTCCAACTGTATTGGTGTTATCACCAACTAGGGAGCTGGCAACACAGATTCAAGATGAGGCAGTGAAGTTCGGGAAATCGTCAAGGATATCTTGTGTGGTATGTATCTTCTGGTCCTTTTTATGTTTTTCCAGGATAAACAATAAAAATGTCTTCAAGAATGGTATTGTTTGATGCTGCATATGCGTTTGTGTGCATACATCATATAGTTAAATATTGTCATGCATGTGCATTTAGAGAGTTGCAATTATGGTTATTATTAAACACCAATGCTGCCCGACTCAACTTATTAGACTCTTAACTATGGACTACTCAAACTGACTCCCTAATGTAGAACCTGGCCACTGTGAAACTAGGTTGACATGCAGTGACTTCATTGACCAACTTGACCTTGCTGGTTATATCAACTCAATTGGCTTTCTTCTTCAAGTTGTAACTTAAACGGTCACATGCCTTACAAAATCTTGTTCAATATATAAGTGGTTCATTGTGTTTTCTTTGTTTTGGGCTTTTTCCCCAGGGAAAGTAATATTATATTGTGGAGTGTTTTGGCCATGTTTCGCTCTAGAATAATTGATTATAGTGATGACCTTCTAAGGGCTTCGGCTGGTCCCCCTCTTTAGTTTTAGAATCTAATCTAGACATGTTATTCCACCAACATCTTGAACTTCGAGATTTTTTAAGAATTAAATGGAGGAGGTCCATTTAATATTTTTTTATCTAATTAAATGATTTTTTTTGCTTTTTTTGTGTGTAGTGTTTGTATGGAGGAGCTCCAAAGGGTCCACAGTTGAGAGATATTGACCGAGGAGCAGATGTTGTCGTTGCCACTCCTGGTCGCTTGAATGATATTCTTGAAATGAAGAGAATCAGTCTCCATCAAGTTTCTTACTTAGTGTTGGATGAGGCTGACCGGATGCTGGACATGGGGTTTGAACCACAAATAAGGAAGATTGTGAAGGAGATACCTGCTCGTCGCCAGACCCTAATGTATACAGCAACTTGGCCGAAGGAGGTTCGGAAGATTGCAGCTGATCTGCTGGTCAAACCTGTTCAGGTTAACATTGGCAATGTTGATGAACTGGTTGCGAATAAGTCTATCACACAGGTACATTAACTCCAGCAATGCTGTCCATGTTTTAGTCCATAGTATGTTGGCTTATCATGTGCATGTTTCCTTATATGTTAGGATATCACTCTAGGTGATCACGATGATCAATTAAGAGTTCTAAAGAGGATAAAAATTATTTACATATTTGTTCCCTCCACCCAGCGTGGAGGACTTAACTATCAATTTTTTTGTA